TCTACTTTCCATTCAAGATCAAAACATATTGATGTGTGTATCATTGGATATGTGATGTTTTTCGAAATTTTTTCACCTTGTGAAAATTCATATCGATGATAATGCATCGGATATGATGACAAAGGCCTTACCCAAATACAAGCATAAGTGTACAGTTTCGACGGGTTTGGTCGAGTCCACCGCATAAGTAGGAAGGGGGAGATTTGTTGGGTGTCCTTTCTTATGCCATCTCATTGGGAGCCAACTCAAATTAAAGATATGCGCATGTATGCATTGGAACTATCCATTCAAAGAGTCTAGCATAAGCCAAAAATTGAAGACATTTTGTCTTCCAAGTTGCCTAACCGATTTTACACTTTGAGTGCAAAAAAAATTTGTAAAAAAAAATAGTGTAAGTGGATAGATTCTTTTGTGAGAGAAAAGTGGAAAATAACAGCCCACTTCTTGCTCTTGTTCAAGACTCATTTCTACTTCGATCGAGCTAAAAATTCAGGGACATATTCCTTACTTCCACAACTGCTTTCTATTGTTTTGGGTCGTCAATCGGACTCTTCTATAGCTGGTTTTCAATGACACAAGTTCAGCCACTTTGATGAGATCTTTTTAGTTATTTTGTGTTGAAATCCACCTAAGGGTGGACTTTTTATGTTTGGGAGCCAAGGAGATATTTTTCTCTTGATGTTTGATATCTCTAGTTGTGCCTAGCAGACTTGTAATCCTACTTTCGTTGATAGTGGAGAGATTGGACCAAGTTTGATCTCATAGTTTTTTCCCTTCGCCTTGAAGGGTTTCCTGTTAAAAATTCTTGTGTTTCTTGTTGTTGGTTTGGTTTGCTTATTGTGCTTGTTTGTGGTTTTGATTATTTTCTATTGATTTGCACATAGAGGGAAAGTCACTAGTTTTCCTAACAGCAATGCCTAATGTATTTGACGGAAGTTTGGCTTAAAGTGGCTAGATCCTTTTCAGATTCTGGAAAAGAAACTCATTCCTATTTGCCCATATGAACTAGCAGTGATCCACAAAAAAGGAAAATTGTTTGGAGTTCTTTTGTTGCGCCATTTTCCTCTAGTCACCAGTTTATGTGAGGTGTCGGAGCTTGCACAAGATAAAACAAAGAGCTACCAGCCCAAGACTGTGTAGCCCAGATACAATCCTTTACAACATGGGAGTATACTTTACTTCCAATTGCCGCAAACGCATCACAGGTCATCCCATCAATGTTGAGTTTTTTGTGGAGTCTAGTTTTTATGTTGATCTGGATGATAATCCGACCCGAAAAATGTTGCGTGATTTTTAATGAAAAATTTTCTGAGGCTTAGTTCATGGAGCGAAGGTTTGGGCCGATAGGCATATAAAACCTGTTTGTTTGTAGCCCGGTGATTAGGGTTTTTGATTGATTTTGTACGGTCGCCGCCCTCTCTGTAATCGTTCTTGAGAATAGTGAAACCCCTGTAGCTTCGTGGATGTAGACAAATTGCCGAACCACGTAAATATTGTCTTGTACGTGTGATTATTTTTCTTTGACGTGTGTTTTCTCTATTGTTGTTTCTTACATGTTTGGAAATTTCGTGTGAATTTCCTAACAATCAAAGCTTCTTTCTCTTGAGGTTCTCATTAGTTGGTACAAATCTTAATTTTATTTAGTATTCTCTGATTACAAACCACTTTCTAACAACTAGAAGTGGAGATGGATGATGAACTTGCTTCTGAAAGTGTTGAACTGAATAAATTCCTCTCATATGCAAGATGGTATGCAATACGAACAGTGAAACGGCCATTAGAATTGTAACCAGATTAACTTATTCTCCACAACAGTTTCCCCCAAAGGAATCCGTTTTATCACATCAGCTTCATGCTCTAGAAAGACCTCATCAATGAGATGATCGGTCCATGAGCGAGTTGTCGAGTCAATGAGATCACTAACTGTTGCCTCCTCTTGCAACAAATTCCTTGGTGTAACCAATCTAGAAGTAATGGAAGTCGGAATCCACCTATCATGCCATACAATGATATTGGAGTCATCGCCAACCCGCCATATTGAACTAGCCTCTGTAACACTTTTTGCTTTAAAAATACTTCGCCTAATGTAAGAAGGCTTGTTACCCAGCCCAGCAGTCATAAGGTAGTCATTCGGAAAGTATCTAGCTTTGAAGACTCTATGTAGAAATGTACGAGTTTCATGATGAATTCTCCAAGGTTGCTTGGCCAACATCACCATGTTGAAACTTCTCAAGTCCCGGAAACCCATTCCTGGTTTGTCTTTGCCCTTACACATGTCTGCCCAATTCACCTAATGAATTTTCTTCTCACTATCTTTCTGACCCCATCAAAAATTAGATGCCATAGATTCCAACTCATTGCATAAATACTCCGGAAGCTTAAAACAACTCATTGCACAAGTAAGAATAGATAGTGTGACCGCTTTAATGAGTACTTTCTCTCTAATTTTAAATAACAATTGTTCCTTCCATCCTTGCAATTTCTTCCGCACTTTCTCTTTTAAAGATGCAAATATTTCTTTCTTAGAGTAACCCACAACCGAGGGCAAACCTAGATATTTTTTAATGCTCGTGAACACGAGAAACACCCAATATAGCCATTAATTATTCAACTGTAGCTTCTGAATCGTTCTTGCTGCACACACCATGGCTGATTTTTCGTTATTTATTTACTGTCCTGAAACAGTTTCATATAAACACAACAAATCCATGATTGTAGAAGCTTCTGATGTTAAATAATAGGCTATCATTCGCGACAAGAGGTGGGAACCAATGGTTTAATGATTGCTAGGTTATTAGAATTCATTGAATACGAAAACTCTAATTGGTGACACATTTCAACATATTGTACCAGGGTGGAAGTGGATTGACAAATAAAGAAAAGGATATTTTTTAACTTCCAAATTTTATTTATTTATTTATTTCTTTTGACGTTCAAATTAAAACCTTAATTTATGGATGATTTTGATTTGTGAAGCCTAGTGACTAAAACGCGGAAGCGAACAACCAAGCAGTCCTCTAATTTGTAAAAAAGGCCACGCGTATTGAATTACTTACAATAGTATTAAGGTCACTAGCTTCTAATAATCATCATAATCAAAATGATTTCTTCTTTTGATAGTCATGGATCCAATTATTCAAAACTTGGAATCAAGACGAAGAAGAGAATGAGGGGGATGCTGGTTGTATGTGTGTGTGAGAGAGAGATAGAAAGAGTTAAAAAAAATAGAGAGAAGAGATTTTAATTTTTGGTAGGAGTAATATGATAATTGCATAGTTTCCAACCACATCAATGAAAAATATCTCGTGGAGAAAAGGGATCTAATTTCCAAAATTACAAGTATTATAATTATATTTTTTCAAAATGAAAAGGATTTTAATTTCAATGGTTTCCTATGAATTTAAATTATATTTCACTGACATCTCCTATGATTTTTAAAATATCACTGCATACTTCTATCAGTTTTTGTCTGTTAATAGACTTAACAGAATACATAATTTTACTAAATTACTCTTACTAGAAATTTCATTTTACTTAATTACTCCTTACTCAAATTAATACAAAATAATTTTATCAAATTAACATTAAATTGACCTTAATTTTGTTTGATTAATATTTAATTTTATAAAATTAAGACCAAATTAACATTCACATTCATATCAAATTAGCATTCAATTCATCCGATTAACATTCAATTTTATTAAACTAATACAAATTAATATTCAATTTTATGAAATTAATACAAAATTAACATTCAATTTTATCAAAATCTCATTAAACTTCATCAAATTAACTAACAAATTAATATTCAATTTGATCTAATTAACACCAAATTAACTATCAATTTTATTAAATTAACATTAAATTTCATCAAATTAATACAAAATTTTACCAAATTAACGTGAAATTGATCTTAAATTTTATAAAATTATCATTTTATTTCAGCAAACTAATATTCAATCTCATCAAATCAATATTCAATTTTATAAAATTAATACCAAATCAATATTCAATTTCATCAAATTAACCATATATTAACATTGAATTTCATCAATTAACATTATTTTTTTTATTGAATTTAAAATTAACATTCAATTTTATCAAATCAATACCAAATGGTCATTCAATTTTATAAAATTAACATTCAATTCTTTGAATTCAATATTTTAATATTATTTTTTAAAATAACACCAAATTTAAATTTTATTTGATACATTTTTTATAGGGAATATTGTATTTAATTCAATTAGCATTTAATTTAATTAAATTAATATTAAAAGGATGTTTACTATTATTTTAAACTTGCTTTATATGACTAAGGGTAAATTTGATAATTCATAACAGAATAAACTATCACATCACACTTTCTTTCCTTGTCAATAACAATATTAGATGGCAAAGACAATTTGTGAAACGTGTATATAAACTACATAGATATTAGATACGCAATGATATTTTAGAAATTATAAGGGGTTGAAGTCCGCCCCCCTCTCAAAAAAAAATGAAATATAACTTAAATTCAGGAAATATCAGTGAAATTTATTTTTTTATATACTTAGGATAAAGATAAAAATAGATGTTTAATCCTTAAAATATGCGTTTAGTATCTATTTGATTTTTAATCTTTCAATTATGTTTATTTAGTTTCTAAAATTTTTAATTTGTATCTATGTAGTCTAGTCCCAAATATTTGTCTGACAGTTCTAATCGTGTGCCAATCATATGATTAAAAATTTTGTGTTTATGTAATCTCTAAAATTTTTAATTTATGTTAATTTGATCCCCCAAATTGAAGCGTGACAAAGGCGTTAGTAATATTTTGACCAACTTTTTTTTTTTTTTTTTGTTTTTACGTGGTAAGAAAAAGATACCAAAGTAGCTGAGCACGATTATTGGTAACATTGTGGGACCTTGTGTCAGTAAATGAAAACGAGCGGGCACTTTTGTGAAATTTTGAATACGGAGTGACAGATGGAGGCTCTCCTTCAGTGAAGTTTCACTTACAGAAGACCGTTAACGTCGTTAGTGGCAAAAACACCCAATGATGTCTTCGAGTCAAAAGCACAAAGCCAACGGCTACAATACCGCTCTCTCTCTCCGTTGTCGACATTTGACCGGAGATCAAAAGTCCGGCGAAAAGATCGCAATCTGTTGAACCGCGAAATGAAACTAACAAATGAAGAGCTATTCTCGGCAAATGCAGCAAAAAATCGCCATTCCAATTAATCGCCAACTGATTGCCATCTCTGAAACTGCTCGCGTGTTCACCAATATAAAGTTCACCATCTTCGTTCCATTTGGCCCTTGATTCTTTCCCTCGGTAAGAATCCAGAGTCCTCTTGAATGTTTTTGTCCCCTTAATCCACCCAACATTCTTCTCCATTCTCTCATATTCTTATTGAACTTATTCCTTGGGGGTGATTTGAGTTGAATTACACATTCTACTCGAAGATCGGAATCTTGTGGAAATTTCAAAAAAACCTCTGATTCTTTGACGTTTTGAGTCATTCTGTGCGGGGTACTTAACTTCCTTCACATAAGGATTTGAAAGAAGAGGAAAAAATTGAATCTTGGGTCTTCTAATTTGAATTCGTTCTGGGGTTCTTTTAGACGTTTTTTTCTTTACATTTGTATATCTTTTTGGGTTTATTTTGGGTCAGGCTAATCTCTCTTGATCATTAAGAGAATAATACGATCTCCAGTTTGACTGAGAGGCATTCAATTGGAGTTGTGTTGTGCTAATCTGTTGGTGATTGAAGGAGGTGTGATACATTGTAAATTGTATTAGGCAAAAAAAAAAAATTAAAATTAAAAAAAGGGTCCTAGCCCCTAGGGTTTCTTGAGGGGAGGCTTAAAATGTCTGTTGCTGATGTTGCTTTGAGTCCGATTCGCAAAGATAGGTCGACCGGTTATATTCATAGCCGGGCGGGTCTTTGCTCAAGCGATTCGATTATAATTTACCTCACTGTCGCCGGTTCTGTGATTCCCATGCGTGTATTGGAGTCCGATTCGATTGCGTCAGTGAAACTTAGGATCCAAACATGCAAAGGGTTTGTAGTGAAGAGACAGAAGCTAGTTTTTGGAGGCAGAGAGCTGGCAAGGAACAATTCTCTTGTTAAAGACTATGGTGTCAATAATGGGAATGTTCTGCATTTGGTTCTTAGGCTTTCCGATCTTCTTGTCATCGTTGTGAGGACCACATGTGGGAAGGAATTCGAGTTCTACGTCGGTAGACATCAAGATGTTGGGTATCTCAAGCGCAGAATTGCCAAGAAAGGCAAAGGTTTTGTTGATCTTGAGGATCAAGAACTTTTTTCTAATGGTGAGAAGCTCGCGGAAGAGAGACTCATCGATGATATTTGTAAGGATACCAATGCTGTAATTCACCTTGTAGTCCAGAAATCTGCAAAAGTCCGTGCCAAGCCTGTTGAGAGAGATGTTGAACTCTCTGTGGTTGCAGCGAATTGGAATGAAAAGGCAGATGAAGGAGCACATGAAAGAGCGAATAGATCAGGAAAGCGTCAAGTTGCCTCTAGGAAGCCACCAGATAGAGATTTCTTGCTGGAACCGATTATTGCTAATCCGAAGGTGGAATTGCCTTCAACAGTATGGGATCTAATTAGATCCTCACTTGATGGCTTAGACCATGGCAAACCACCTATCAGATCATCTGAGGGTACTGGAGGAACTTATTTCATGCAAGATGCATCAGGCAACAAATATGTTGCTGTCTTTAAGCCTATTGATGAGGAACCGATGGCTGCGAATAACCCTCAAGGGCTCCCTGTAACTTCCAATGGTGAAGGGCTAAAGAGGGGAACCAGAGTGGGAGAAGGAGCATTGAGGGAGGTTGCATCATATATTCTGGATCATCCAAAGAGTGGGCCTCGCTCATTATCAAGTGTGGAGATTGGTTTTGCAGGTGTACCCCCAACATTTATGGTTCAGTGCTTGCATAAAGGATTTCACCATCCAGAAGGGTATGAGTGTGCACCCCAGAACATTAAGATTGGGTCCTTGCAAATGTTCATGAAGAATTGTGGAAGTTGTGAGGACATGGGTCCACGGGATTTTCCTGTGGAGGAGGTCCACAAGATCAGTGTCTTTGATATAAGAACGGCGAATGCAGATAGGCATGCTGGCAATATTCTGGTGAGCAGAGAAGGGGAAGAGGGCCGGATTGTTCTTATTCCTATTGATCATGGCTACTGCCTGCCTGAGAATGTACGTCTTACTGTACCATCTGCTTATATTTTGTTAGCTCAATTAAATGTTATGTAGCAGGCACCTTTATATCTGCATGAAGTGCATATGGAGTTATTAATCAGCCTCTAAGGATAATAAATTAAATATGTATGATATTTTCCATCGATTAGTAAAATTGATTTTGTTGAGATCTGGAAGTGGCTGATAGTTGTGGACGAAGAAAAATGAGGGGATTCATGAACTTGTGGATTGGGTATACCGAATTTCCTCAAGGGGTTTCTAAGCGATTTTATAATTTGGAAAGGGAAGAGGAGCTAAGACATAGTAGGACATCTGCAATTAGCATTTCGTTATGACTTTTGAGCTGGGATTGTTTGGGCAAACAATCTCCAATACTAATGCCAGAATTTTGCCACCCAGCCTCAGTGCCCATGGCTAGTTCATTTCAGAAAGTTTATCTCTTACAATCTCCATTGAGAAGCATGTTTTCTAGGTGTTGGCTCCGTTAGGAAAGAAAGGGGGGATACAAATATATGCAGTGTGGTGTTCCATCCTATGATATCTTGTGAGCAAGGCTTTATGGCCTGATTCTTTATTACCTAAAGTTTAATTGTTATATCTCTGATGTACATGTACCTCTTTTAGAACATCCCTCTAAGTTTCAGGCGTTTAGCAGTCTGGTCAGACTACTTCAGCCATGTATTTTTGACCGTCTAAATGCACATTTTCTCCTCTTGGCAAATTTTAAGAAAGTTGATTTTATAAAATTTGAAACTCAAACTGTTTATCCTGTTTGTAGTTCGAGGATTGCACATTCGATTGGCTTTACTGGCCACAGGCCCAGCAGCCTTACTCCGCAGAGACCATTGAGTACATAAAGTTGCTGGATTCTGAACAAGACATTGTTCTTTTGAAGTTTTATGGATGGGACCTTTCCCCCGAGTGTGCCCGTACATTCCGTATCTCCACCATGCTTTTGAAGAAAGGGACAGAGAGAGGACTCACTCCCTTTGCCATTGGAAGCATCATGTGCAGGGAAACCCTGACTAAGGAATCTGTTATTGAGGAGATTGTTCATGAAGCCCAGGATTCCATGCTCCCTGGCATGAGTGAAGCTGCATTTCTGGAAACTGTCTCAAACATCATGGACTCCCGTCTTGACAAGCTCATGAACTGATGATGTTCATGGGGTTTACAGGCATATATATCTATAGTTATGTATTTTAATGAGTGAATGACCAGTCTTTCCCTCTCTGAGCCCTCCTCGAATATTTTCTTCCACTTCTGTTACTCTTGACCAATACTTTGATTGTCTTGAGATGCTGAACAGAAGTTAAAATCACGAATAAAAAACCTTGCGTGGCTGAAATGTTTGTGAGCGCTGAACTCTGATGTATTATATTGAGGTCAAACATAATTTTTAAGTTGTATATTTTTTTCACCTCAATATCCCATTGCATCTGTCTCTGATTTCATGAACTATGGAGCCTCGGAATGCAATGCTGAATGGTCATTTTTTACTTTGACCACCACTTTGGGTTTTCTCTGTTCTGCTGCAGTTGAGAGATGAACACTGTTTCATGTTTATCAATGCAATAAAACTCATGGCATAGAAGGCCGAACTATCAGCCGTTTTTATACCACATCACATGGAGATTCTGACCTTAATGGTCCATTTGGTAGGGAGAATGGAAAAATAGAAGGATCTCAATGTGATGTGGGCGGGGAAAAGAGAAGCGTGATCCATGATGTCTTGTCTTCGTTTGTGACATCATAATCTCAAGAAGGGGGAATGTGGAGAGCATGAATCTAGACAGAATACAAGGAATTCTTTGATGAAATTCTTTCACACATTAACCTTGTTCTACAAGTCTGGGAAATTTTGATGGAGTAAAATTTATTTCAGAATTAGATTCCTTTAATGCCATCTTAATTAGTCTCAGCATTGTTAATCCTGACATGGATGGCCGGTTTTGACTAGATCAAGGAGGAAATTAATTGAAATACGCATAAATTAGTTCAAACACATGTGACCGTTGAAAAAAAAAAAACAATTCACCAGCATTAGCAACTCAAATTCCACATGCCTACATCTCTGTTCCAAGATACCCTCCTCTCTTCAAAGATGCTCCTCTTCAATTCATCTCACGTCATTGGTTCCAATTCCACCAATTTTAATCCCAAGTGTCCATGCTTACACTCGGTGTTTGTCAATGTCTTTCACTCATTTAACGAAAGTTACAGTTTGTAGGTCCAAAAATACGCGTAAACCACGTTGAAGACGAAACCTAACACAGCAAATAAAGAAAGTCTTTCCTTTCACACTTCTGTTCTGTCTCCAAAGGCCAAAACACTTGGATTCACTTCTTACACTTTCCGTCCTCTCCAATTTTCCCACATCCCAAGTATACAGTAACTTCACACTCACTACTGCAGACAAACACGTCTTAGTACTTTCTCTCTCTTACGTTCTCTCTCTAAATTTCACATTCACCGTGTTCGTGTTAATTGGGTCAAGGACAAAACGTACCATTTTCAACGAAAAGAAAATTTTTTGTGCATGATTTAATCTTAGCATTGATTCATAAGTTGCAAGCTCATCAGTTATAGCTAAGAAAGTTGACTTAATCGATTTTGAATGAGCCTTAGTATACAACGCATCCTTAGGATCTTTACATTAGGCACAATTGTTTAGGTTGGCTCCCTGGATATTCCTATTAAAGAGTAAATTACATATATGATCTTCAAAGTATAATATTTGTATCAATTAAGTACTCGAATTTTTTTTTGTGCCAATTAAGTTACTGAATTTTCTAATTGTGTTAATTAAACTCTTATATCTGCCTTCTTTAGAGTATGTCACTCATGTGATTATATAGCACAAAAAGATAAATGAATTCAATTGACACAAAGAGAGTTCAATAGTTCAATTAACACAAAAAAAAATTCAATAATTTAATTGACACAAGGATCATAATTTGAGGGTCATTTATGTAGTTAACTCTAACCATTTGTGTCACGTGAGTGACATATTTAACCACTTTTCATTAGAAAATCTAACCGAGACAGACATAAAAGCTCAATTGACACAAAAAAAAAATTGAGGACTTAACACAAGGATTATAGTTTAAGGGCTATATGTATAATTTATTCTAAATTAAACTTAAGTGCGCGGGTGAACCACAAAAAACCGCCAAGTGGCCGCACAAGATCCCAAGATCACCGTTAACGCCATCCAACTTCCCACATTTTCCCGTTGCTAACGGCACCGTCAGCTTCGCGTTCTCTCAGTATTGCTCTGTTAAGAACCCGAACGGAGGTGTGTTCACACACTGCGACAACTCATTGGTCACTGCAGTTACTGTAAGCCGGTAGTCAAGTGGGCTTCATGTATATACCAGCGGGCCATGTAGATTCGGGCTGGACCCACTATATGGCTGCCACGTTCTCTCCGTCATCTAAGGCTCAGCCCAAGAATGTGAGCCCTAGTAAAACCAATGGGCTTAATGGGATTCTCCTCGGGCCCACCATCTCCGTGGTAAGCCCAGTTAGAGTTTTGCATGTCTTCACGCATCATGTGGAAGCCAGAGCTGGATGTAGAGTGGTCTCTGCTGTGAGTGATGGATCCTGTGTTAGGCTTTCAAGCAGGGCCGGCCCAACAGTATTAAAAATAAAATTTAGATTTTAGGCTTCAAATTTTTAATAAGTTTCATAATTTTAAGTAAGAAAATTTGGAGGCCGGTCCCTGTATAGACTTGTTTGGACTTAAGTTTGTCAAAGAAACTTATTTGTTATGAAATCTGTTTTTTGTCAATTTTACCATATTATCCTTTTCCTTTAGAAGTGAAATAAAATTAAAAATTAAAAATTTTTAAATCTTAGAAGTTTAACTATCATTAAATATCTAATATATATATATAAAAAACTTTAACTCTTAATATCCATATATAGATATATATAAACTCAGGCAATACTCAAATTAAGTACCTCGAGTTGAGGTAGAATTAGGATTAAGGTTAAAAATTATATACTTAAGATTGGATTAGAGTTGACCTCTCAACCCGCCCGAATTGCACCCCAATTCTTATGCCAGGACCCCCCCCCTTCCCTCCTCTCCCTCTTACGCTTTGTTGATTTGGGCGTTCATTTTGAGCATGTAACTGTAAACTGTTAATTTAACTTTCTACAATGGAGTACGATAAAAAAAAAAAAAAAAAAATCAACAGTGGAGTCTATGATTTTTCTTTTTCTTTTCATGTTTGTTCTATTATGTTTTTCTTGGATCTTGGTATGTTGAATGCTTACTGGATTATCCTCAGCTTGATCTCAATATATTGATAATGGGAAAAAAATTAAAAAGCCAATCTTGGGTCCACCAATCATTTGAATCCTCTACAGCATATTGCTGTATCAAAAACGATATGTATCTCATGCAAAACAATGTCATTTGCGTGTTATACAACGCCGTTTAGAAGAACAACTCATGTGCGAGCTTTTATCCCCTTCTAGGGATGGTGGGGTGGTGTCAAAAGCGTCATAGAACCCTAGAGAGTGGAGACTTTTGAGGCATGGCTCATGATTCACCTTCACTCATGGGATTCGTAAAGCTCCTTTTTTCTTTTAACTTGCAACAAGAGTGTCCATGACCCGCTTGCTGAGGAGTACTGACCAGTGATATGTTTCTATAAAATCACTGCTTAAAAACAGAAACACGTATGCTTTTTTGTTTACAAAAAGCTACAGCATTGGACCTTATTACTTTTGCTATTATGCTATTATAACACAATTTGGATACGTCAGTGTAATAACTCATTGTCATTTCATACAGAGCAATACTTGCATTGAAACCATTAGGAAGAGAGTTCGTTGATTAGTATTTGTTTTCAGTCATACTACATACAGGAACCTTGCACCTATAGGCAATGTGATAAAGACCCTTACCACCGGGCCAGTCCTCTTTGGCTTGCTCCCAATACCATATAATAGGTGATATTAAATGAGGTATTATCCAAAATGAGAAGAATACTCATACACTAAATATTTAGGCATTGATGTAGGGTACTTATTGTCTTTCTAACTTGATACTATTATGCATTAATTCCTCTTCCAAATATGATATTGGTATTAGAATAATGAGATCAACATTTATCCAAACATGATTTAAGTATGACAGGATAATGTTGTTAACCAATTATTATCAGCCTCATCCCTAATACCCACCCAATTCATTTGAATGTATTAGGTGACGTCTAAAACTACATGTTATTATATTCATTGACTGACCAAAAGGCTTTAATCACATCACAATACAATACTAACAATTCAAAAAGATGCCCAGCTATGAGATGAGCACAGAGAAACCATTCTTTCACTATTGACTTATCAACAAAAGAATCAACAAAACAAAGAAAGAAGAAAAGGTTCAGCAGCATGTACCAAAGTCTAGGCTCATAATTCTACTTGGTTACACTAGTTATCCCCAACCATGAAACATTTAGAAGAATAGACATGATGTTTTTTTTTTTATATAAAGTGCTAACAGAAAGGAGAATGTCAGAGGCAAAAGCTACATCATAATTTATACAGCTATCGCCAGATTGATGCACAGACATAATCAGTACTCCATCCATCACACAAGAAAATAATAAAACATTCCTACAATGACAAAAATATAAAGCAATCGAAGAAGAATAACAGTACCTGCAGATAAACCTCATCAGTAATTGTAAAGTTTGGACTGCAAGTGCAGGTCATTTCTCCACCACTGGTGGATGCCATGAGCTTCTTTGAAGTCTGAGGACCGAGTCAAATTAACTGTCAAATTTGCTGATGGAATGAGGTGCAGTGCCTCTTCAGACTCCTTCCCAATTGCAGTCATAAATAGACCCCCAATTGAATGCTGTGTCGCCAACCTCTCAATACCACCTGCTCCAATTTCCTCCATCTTTTTCCTGTGTTCAAAATACCCAATATATTCGGAACAAATGTGATCGGACGGATTCACAAATAGGTACGGCACCCATGCAGACAGAGCAACAAATGTATTGTCAGGTTGATTCTTCTGGTGTTTACCCTTCAAAGCAACAGCAAATCCAGCCGTGATCAGGCTGCTTGCAATTCGGACTCCGTGTTTCAGTTTCTTATCCTTGATTCTTTCTATTGGGGCAGAAAAGAATGGTGGATTAAATAGAAAAGCTTCAAGGAAGATGCCTCTTTTTGCCATATTCTTTCCTGCAAGCATTGCCATGGCTGATCCCAGGGAATGGCCAGCCAACCAAATATTAGAATTTCCCACTGCAGCAACCATGTTTTGGACAGCTTGCATTGCTATTTCGAAGCGAGATGTCCGGTGGAGTCCATTCCGAATAAAGTGGATGTCCAATTCGAAGTCTCGCGAAAAGGCATCCCCTTTGGTTAAGGTGCCCCGAAAGGCAATTACATAAAGTGGAACTTCAATGAAGTGGTTGCAGTTCTGAGGAATCAATTCATAGATGGCTCCAAAGACAGATAGATCAGCATCATCCACAAGTTGACTGTATAACTGAAAATTGAAGAACTGCCACCACAGAGGAGCAAGGGCGTGGGTCCCTTGCCGGTTCTCCTGACGGTCTCGCTGTAAGATGTATACACCCTGAACCAAACTGGCAGCAACAGACCTTCTGTGATCAACATTTCTCCTGCATAAGATAGCCTAGAAAGTTAATTCTGTCATCTTCATGTTAGGTTTGTTGCTTGAAGAAAACTGAAAATTAAGCCAGAAGTAAATTCTACATTCACTATTAACCCAAAGGAAAAAAAATCCAAATTCAGCTTCTGCCACCGTCACACCCACCAAATGGCCACCACCAACAAAGAATGCATTGCCACCACCAACTGACCACTGTCACTACCATCCCCCTCCCACAACCACCCAAAATTCTTCTGCTTCTCCTCCATCTCTCTGAAATAAAATCTCTCTCACAACATCACAACACCAACCTATTGCCACCACAACCGCGACCAACATCACCAAAACCTACTGCCCACCACTACCAACACTCACCCATCACTGTCACATCCTTTTTTTCCTTCTTACTCCCACTTTCTCTCCATCTTCGATGTTTTTCAAAGCAGGGGTATTTCAGTTGATTTGTATAACTTTTCTTGCCATTCCTACTAAAAATCCTGCCTGCCATGTGCCGAATGCAATATTGAGAATACAATGGCCATCTTGTGGCGTATTTCAAAGGTTCATTCCCTTACAGCCAAATTTCCATTACAGCAAACCAAAGCCTTGTAAGCACTGAGGCATGGCAATGTGTCAACGTATATAAATGCATAAGTTTACCTACATAACTTAGTTTGTTTACACATATTTTCTGCTTTAAAAAAAAAAAAAAAAAGAAAAAGAAAAAGAGGAAACATGCCGCCAATAGTTAAGACACATGATGCTATAACAAGTCAACACATATGTAAATGAGTGTCCAAGCCTCTGACAGCCTCATAGTCAATTAGAAGAAATATCTACATTTAATAGAATTTTGAAAGTGAATAGAACTGGTGTCAATTTCACTAGAAACTTGCTGAAATTAAAAACATTTGGTACAATCAAATGTGCACCACATCTGCATGGAGATATGTGACACCGAAGCTGTTTGTTGACTATGCACTACAATAGATGTTGGCTCGAAGTGGAGAACAAGTTAGTGATTTCTTATCGTCTGCTCAAGCAGGGACCATCCTTGAAGTTATTTAGTACAAACATTGACTGCAAATCTGAATCCATTCAACATATTCTAATGATAATTCAATTTGACTCCCTACAATCCATCTCCAAAAAACCACCTCAAAAAACCATGACAATAAATAGAAAAACACTCACCAGTCAACAGTATTAAGGTGCAAGGGCCCTGAACAATTGAAATCTTCCCTCTCTGAGCCCATTACTCCTTATGCTGTCTTATTCTTTCTTCTTCAAACAGAAAACGTTGAACTGCATAGCAAAGGAAAAGCCAGTCACAAACATGACTTAGAACTTAGACACATCCACATGTGACAAAATATTCTGATGCATTGTAATGAAACATGTGCCAGTGAAGATCGCATTGTCCACCAAGATACTAAATGGTACAACAAGCCATCTCACGCCCCCAATCTTGCATACATCGTGAAATTAGCATGATAAATATCTATTACCCATTGTTGTACCATTCATGTTTATGAACTTCATATATAATAAAAGAAATTTCATCCTTTACAGAATCCCAAAAAAATCTTTCCAAATTGGGGGAACAACTTCCTGCATTTCTAAAGCACAAAGCCTCTAACACTACTAAAGCACTCAAACAAGAGAATCACGTTCTCACCATTGTATTCCTAAACAATGTCTTTGTACCTATACTTCCACCTATGTGCGCAAAAACATGGCAATACTAAAAATACATACTTGCTAAAACATAGTTTATAAAAACTCACTCAAATACCACATCCCACGTGCCAGATTGCCTGATTTTTATAGGGTAATATATGTATTAAATTTTCAGAAGAACATGAAGCTTTGTGTCTTTGCTTACCAGAACATAATGGAGCTTACGCAAATTTACTGAACATAAATTTCCGATTCCAGCCAAAGTCGCAACCTAATTAAGCTCAAAAAATTCCCAAACATAGTATCAACAACAATAGTAAGATCTCGCAACTCGTCGAAAATTTCCGAAACCGAGCATTAAGAAAAATCATATCTCGACAATTAAACCGAGCATTAAGAAAATCATATCAGCAGTTCATATCTACGTTTGACAGCCGAAGTAAGATATCTACAATGCACAAACACACATTACAGAGGCTATAAAATAACAGCAAAATACCTCGTACACAAGTTACAGAGGAGATCTAAAACATTCTAAGAGTTTGTTTTGCTTTTGGGATCATTAGATTTGGATCTTCTTCGTTTCTTTCCCTCTCACTATCTCTCTCCTGTCCGGTGATAAAGGTTGGGAAGTTGGAGGGTCCTTGTCAAGTAAAAGTTCTCGCGTGTTGTGCATCTCTTGGAAAAAGCTGAAAATGAAATTAATACGAGATCGTATGCTGTAAATTTAAGGCTGTTACGTGGGGATTAAATATTAAATTGTATTATTTTTTATTTAATTGAGTTTAATATTTTATTTGATAAGTAAATTTGATATTGTATTAATTTTAAAAATATATATTTATCGTATATTTTTTATATGATAAATCTGTATTATAGAGATTTTTTAATACCACCAAAAAGAAGTGGTATTATAATTTCATTCAAACGTATTATTTTACACATTTATTATTACAACCTCAAGTGATAAATTTAAGTTGTCATTAATGTAACAAACATTGATTGAGAGTATTTTTATTAATTTAACGTTAATAAGATAAAATAATTCTCTAACCAAATAAGTGATTAAATTAAATAACTACTATACAATACTCATATTGTGTATTGTCAAATACTATATAAAATTACGCACATTATTTTAACATTATATTTAATCTTATCTTTAATCCATCTGTATTGTATTAAATTGTATTATTTTATCTAATTCATCCAATTTTAATACGTCAATCGATCGAGCCCTCAATTCCTTGTTAGGCTTAATTGCACTTTGCCCCTGCAAACTATAAGATTTGTATCATTTTGTCCCCTCAATTATCATATTTTTTACATTACAACTTCCCCATGGTCACTAATATTATGTCACCCAATGATTAATATCCATTAAAAACTTGACAATAAAAAATTATTTTATTTTACACCCGAAAAAAACATGGTTGATGTCCCTAGGAATTTATCTAGATTCTATCTGACATTTTTTCTTATATTCCTTGATAGTAAATCATTTATCAACTCAAGTAAAGCTCACTATATAAAGTAATCACTGATCAATAGACATTAGATAATCAGTCGTTAAAAAAAACTACGAAAAAAATGTGCCAAAAACAATCCACATCCCAGCACACATCACCATTCTCCATGAATACAAGTAGTGACACACCACAACCATATACACAAAGAAGAAAAAAGGGGGAAGGGGGGGAGACAAAGATTTGCCCATCAATATGCTGCTCAAGTGATAAACTTGTTGCCACTATAATAAGAATTCGTTAGTGTCAGCTGTTTTTTTATTCTTTATAGTAGGTTCCCCTTTTACGGGGAAGAAGAGAAGTCCAGCTCAGGAAAAAAATAACCCCAAGCTTATATCCTCTCCTATAACTAGTATCCCTTCAGAAACCCCAAATTTAAGACACTTTCGTACAGCAATACAGAGGCCACATAATTAAGAGTGTGGACACAGTCTCAGCTTTGAGTCAAGCAGAGGAGTCTGGGGATCCATAGCCATAAGGGTTCTTGCTGGCCCAGTTCCATTGATCACGGCACATCTCCTCAATTCCATATTTTGCTCTGCAAAGACGCACCACATTGTTACAAAGTATTCAAAGTGGTGTCTGATTATACAACGGATGTTGTGCAACCACTTAAAGAATATCATATCGGTTGATGACTTTCTATCTTGATGATTTACAAAAAGTCATCAACCTATAATTGGATTGACCAAACTGAAGTAACCTTAATAGTCGTGAATCATTTATTGTCAACCAGTGAAGGAAGTACTTTTGAGTCATACAAATAGCTGCACACTGTTTTGCACCGTGGTTAGCATTTATGACTTACCTCCAGTTCAATTCGTGTTCTGCTTTATCTGTTGATGCATACACAACCTCAGCATCACCAGGTCGCCGGCCAGCAATCACAAGGGGAATTTTCTGGAACAAAGCATAGCGAAAACAAATTATGTATGCATGCGCCTACATAAGAAACAATATATATATATACACGAAGAAGAATAAGAAGGGGGCATTAGATGCTTCCAAGAGTACGTTCACTAATTGAGAAAGTGTACAAATTCAGTGGCAGGGTCCTCCTTAATGACTGGCGCATGGCCTTCACTAGAAATGACGGGCACAACTTTCACAACAACTCTATGTAACAAATCTCACATCGGTCTAGTTTCTACTAGTATAATACTTTTCAAATCCCTCTACCGTGATATATGCAAAAAAAGAAACACTCTTCCCCAAACACTGAAACTTAATTCAAGAAGATTGGTAGGACTCCAATCAACAATTCTGGTTCAAATATGAATTTGGAAGCAGGGGATCAAATCCATATGCCACAAAATTTTCCAACCAAGAAATTCCTAGCACAGTGGCTGATGTGAACAAAGTTCAAGCTATCGTTATTGCTCACCATGAATCAAAAAGAAAAATAGACCCACAGAGAAAGAAATTCAAAGAAAAAACAACTTTGTGCATTTCAAAATACGGAAAAATAAGAAACTTAAACACAAGTTTCAACAACTTAATACCTTTCCAGATGCTTTCTCAAATGCTGCTACCATTTCCAAAACTGATGTTCCTTTCCCAGTTCCCAAGTTGTACACTTCGCAGCCTACAGATATTTCAGTAAAATTAAAATTGTTGAAGTCTAGCCATTTGATATAAAGCTAGCAGAATAAATAACCCATTCAACTAGCATTGAATTAATTATTTGATCTATTGTATCTCTTCTAGAATATGGCATGCAGCCACCCGGACTCGAACCGAGATGCTTTAGCACTGCTTCCTAAGAGCAGGGTGTCTACCAAAATAGAACTTGTAAATCCCAATTATGTCATGCAAGAGTTTCTCAATGATATCTTCCAATTTCATGCAGTGAGTTCCAGCATCTGAGTAGCCAAATTATCATGAGACACTGAAATGATACACAGGTCCCAAGTTTGAAGCCTCTCCTTAAAATTAACTTTAAACACAGGTTCCACAGGCCACCTTACATATCATGGCAAGATTAGCCTCAGAATAAAAAGGAGGTATATTCTGCCTATAATTCTCAAGTAAATGCATTTAATCAAGCCATATAAAGCATCATTTATGTAAGATAGTGCAAATAGGTTCATCCACAGCAAGACACCAAAAAGAAAAACGGATATTAATCCCAGATACATACCTACAGAAGGATCAGAGAGCTTCCTCAATGCAGCGATATGCCCATCTGCTAAATCCATGACGTGGATGTAATCGCGTACCTGAGAAATCGAAACAAATAAGCACCATCAAGGCACAACCTCAAAAAGCAGAAGAAATTAAATATATATGAAAGGACAAAATCATGATTATGCAAATCTCAGATTTTCCTGAGCATCATTTGATTCCTATGAACTCTTGACGTACAAAATTAGGTCAAAACTGAACGAGGAAAATGGGGCATACCCCTGTACCATCCTTGGTTGAGTAGTCGGTCCCGAAAACAGTCAATGCAGGCCGCCTGCCAACAGCTACTTGCTGCACAAAGGGCATGAGATTGTTTGGGATTCCACGAGGATCCTCGCCAATATAGCCACTAGAATGTGCTCCTACTGGGTTAAAGTACCGCAGCAATACAATTTTCCATTTGGAGTCTGAACCGTAGATATCACGACATATGTCTTCAATAAAAAGCTGAAGAAAGCAACAATTTATGGGTGGTATCATCCATGGTGTTTCGCACACAACTCACATGATGAAGCAGCAATAGAGACACACAAGCTATAAGTTCCAACTAAGAATAGATAGTAAAAACCCTTCATTATTTCAAATGCAACCATAAACGCATCTCTTTAGTCCACCTGAATTATATGATAATAACAAGGATGAGATAATGACGCAAAATCTACCTTGGTTCGTCCATATGGATTTGCAGCAGATAGGGGAAATGCCTCTGTGCATGGAACCTCCTTTGGCCAACCATAAACGGTAGCTGATGATGAAAACACAAGCTGAAATGTTTTAAAAATTTTAGTTAGCTAGACATTAATCTCAGCACCACATAATAACACAAAATTAGCATAAAAAAGAAAACTGTGACAGCAAAATCTAAAATCTAAAATAAAAACACGACCATATAAAGGGATCACGGCAGTGGATAAAAAAGCAAGAAAGAAATTTATACATACATATTTTTACTCCAATATGCATCCAGTTTAGTTTATAGCCAACAGTCTCAACTAAACAGCCATAGCGTCATGCATTATAGATTTTTGAACTTGATTAAGAAACCTCATACTGAAAAACCCACAGCTTCGTCTTGAACTTATCCTCAGACGGGGGTGGAGGAGCTGCACTTTTCTGACTTAAATAGTTCGCTTTTACTAAGCAAACTAAATAATTCAATGGAAATAATCTGTTTTAAGATGAAACATTGTATGGCATATGGATTGACATGAATGACTTGGATATGAAAATGTATGAAAAGTGCATAGCTCCTGACATGAATAACCTGATAATCTATATATGATGCCCTCAAAAGACAAGTAACTCTTAAGAACCTTTAAGATTGCAATTTTTAATCAGCCATCAGATTTTCCCCTTTAAATCAATTAGCAGTCGGCTAACAAAAACTAAAGAAAGGATTCAGGAGGAATCCAGAAACTCGAAATTAGTCCCAATACCACATAGTTGAACACATATTCCAACATAGTTGACTAGTTGTACAAATAACATTATTTATATATAAAAGCTTAGGAATCTGAACTCAATATGTAGTAACCCCAAGGAATGTACCTTTTTGCATCCATGGGCAGCCATTACTTCCAACAGTGTAATGGTACCAATGAGGTTGTTGTTATAATACATCAAGGGTTTCTGCACACTTTCACCAACTGCTTTCAATCCAGCAAAATGGATAACGGCGTCAAACCTGTTGGGCAAAACAGATGGCCAGCAGAAGAAAAAGTCGATGGTAATATAATCAAACAAGTCGGATTCATGTAAACTAAAAATTCAGTTTCCAATTGATGTTACAGATTTTGTATATATGATTTTCCTTTCTTTTTTTTTTTTAATGTAAATATCTTAGCCTATCAAAATCAATATCTTTGGCCTCACAATCTGAACTTTTCACCAAATTTATGACATTTATGAGTTAAATAGAGATGTTTCAGTCTTATAAACTCTGGGGCCCAAATTGAATAAAGTGTGGCTTAAAGAAACCTGATTTTTCGAACCTGTTCAAACAGGGAAAATGACAACAGAAATAATTTGAGAATCCCCATCATATGTACATAACTAAGATGACAAAGAATAAGGTAGGAATTAATGCAATTTGCACTAATAAGGTTAAAATGATGGGACACAGTTAGTACGCGACGCTTAATGGGACCAACCCATCGGAATTTTTCTTTTTTGATGGAGCTCTTAAGTGATAAAGTGCCTGCATAAATAGTAAATCCTCCAACACAAATCTTACTTTGTCGAAGCAAAAAGCTGTTCAAGTGCAGGTTTATCCCGTAGATCCATCTGCAAGAATAGCAATTATCATATTAGTTAGAGCCATCAATTAGAATAATAAAACCCTAGACAGCAAAATCGATTGTTGTTGATGTGCATCTCTAGCGTCACAGGAAAACTAAGAATTCAGATGTAATCCGTTCAATTAAAAATAATATAAAAATAAAACCACAAAATAATGGAATGCAACCATAAAGAGTTGTTGAACAAGTAGATAACCGAACTTAAATTTCATAGAAACGTCGAATGAAAAAAAACCCCAATTGCATAGAGAAAGGGGTCGAATTGTGATAAAGTCGTCGTGATGAACAGCAAAATCAGAAGAGACGGAATTTTCATGCTGCCATTAATTTTTTGCTATTGTTTTCAAGCATATGTATCTGAACACAATTCCATCGAATTCAAATCGAGCACATGATCAACTAAAAAATAATATAGACAGATTCGACTTTCATACTAAAAAACACGTACTACATTCATACAATTACATATTACATATACAAATAAATACACACACATGCACACAGTTAGTGTGGAATGGAAGAGGATTTCCAAAGAAACGAACCTTATGAAAGGAAAGGTTATGGCCATAATCACCGGCGAGTTCTTGGACTCTTTTGACGGCAATTTCGGAAGAGTTATCGAGATTGTCGACCACTACGGCTTTGTACCCTCCCAACAATAGCTGAAGAACGGTGTGGCTTCCGATGTACCCCGCGCCGCCTGTCACCAATATGCTCTGCGCCATCACCCCCGACTTCTACTATATATTGCTGAAACACCACTACTGTGCGTATAAGACCCGGTCTGATCTCACCAACATGAAGAACAAGAATAAGAACAAGAACAAGAGCAAGAAGAGAATTTGCTTTGACGCTTTCGATTGAGACTTTGATCAGAGATTCGCTATGTAAAACGTGAGGGCTATATATACGTGAGGACGAGAGAGGACCCTGTTTTAGTAAAGTTTTAGTACAGCTGTAAAAGGTCTTTTTTAGAGTAATTTTTTTAGGACGAATTATACTTTGACCTCAAAATTTAGGGCGAATTATACTTTGGATTAAAATATAGCCCTTTACTCATTTTTATCAACTTTAATGTATGGTTTTTGACGGAATAAACAAAAGTTAACAAAAAAATGTAGAAGCTCTCCCTTTGACCTGACTAGGAGGCCATCCACCACTTCGACTGATGTGTACGAGGTTCTCTAGTCATAAAAGAAATAATGAAAGGAAAATAAAGGTATAATTTGAAAAGTCTAATTTCTAAAGGTATAAAATAAATTTTTTAAGACTTTTGGGGTATAAAGTGAGATTCTCCCTTTTTTAATAATTTTTCGGGGCAGAACCAAAGCTATGTGGTGAAGGTTTGGCGGTTTTTAATGTTGAGTTAGCGGTGCCCGAGATTCTCGATCGTGAATTGACCAGAATATCCTTCCTATTTTTATTAAAAAAGTATTTTTATCTTATCAAATCAGAATAATTGAATTCTATTTTTAGCGTAATTACAAACATATTTATAACTCAATTATCATTTATCTTTTCCCTTTTGATTTTTTTAAAAAAAATCGTTAGAAATTTAGCTGACAGATAGAATTTATTTTTTTAAAATACTAGTGTTTTTAAAAATTATATACTAGTTTAACTAAAAGTAAGTAATTCAAATAATTTTACAAATATGAGAGAAAATCACATACAAGCAAAGGTAGTAATTGTAATTACTTCAACTTTCAGTAAAATTATAATTGATTAAATGCATTTGTAAGAGTGTGAAAACATTTTTTTGGAAAATGGTAAAAAGGAGTCAAAGTACATAATTTTTAAGATTTCTTGGCAATTTTTCTTTTCAATTTCAACCTTTAAATTTATAAAAGTTGTCAAAATATGACACAACACGAAATTACAGGATTTGAGTATTCGTTAAACCACCTGTTTCATAAACGTATAAACCTGATACAATTAATAAACAAAATGAGTATGAATAAAAAGTATCAAAAAAAATAGAAGACATGATTCGTTTATATATTAATTATATATGAGTAGAGTATTTTTTGACATAAATTCACTAAAATTCAACACAAACTCACCTTACTCGACATGATTGACAAATCTAATGAAAATATATGAAAATTTAAATGTTGAGTCGACTTTTCGTTGAATTGAGTTTAGTTAAATTCTTGAAATATAACAGAATTTTCCTTTTTCTTTTAATCATATCATATAAACGGCTTTAGAGTAATCTTTAATTTCTTATTTGTTGTCTTCTTTCTCAATGACGTATAAAAAAATCATTATATCTTTGATATAATTGTCCTTTGACCTTTTTTTTTGGTCCTTTTAACCACTCCAATGCAACTCACCAACTGTTCATTGCACATAACCAAACGAAAAGAGAAAAAGACACAAATCCACGTCCACGTTACTTGTACCAACCGCAACGCTAAGTCGCCAACACTCACCGACTAGTCAACGGGACTTGCAGCAATTTGACTTATGGCCAAACTTGGTCATAAAAGTTTGGTACTACATGAAAGGAAATCCTCAAGAAGTCACCAATTAAAAAAAAAAACGACCACCATTTGTCAATTTTAGTGAAGAATGTTGGTCTACAATTCCAGCAGAAGTTCACTAGAAAGAATGAGGGAAATCCCATGCATAAAAGTATCAGAATTCTCCAGTTGCAACACCACAAGTACAATGATGAATTCCGAATTTTCAATCAACAATGCCAACTTAAAGTTACAACAGAACGATGCAGTTCTTACATTCAAAGGTTAGTCGAATGGAAGGACAGCCATCAGCATTGAGACAATCAAGCTATCCTCACATATGCCATCGTCCTTCCCATGCATAGTTGAAATTTTTCTTCAGGATGATGGTGACTATATTGTCGTGCAGCAGTCATAGCGTATATGTAACAGAACCAGTGCCAAATGTTCTGTTTCTCGACTGAAACCGATCAATGAGAGTAGAAAAGTAGTCGTAGACACAGTGATGCCAAAACCTTGACAAATATAATTCAGGCTCAAGTACATTACCAGTTATCGGTCTACAATCTGTTCTGTGGGTATGGCTTCAGAACTGAGAAGTCTTTCTGCCTCATCATTTGCCTCGGCTTGGATTCTCCATCTCTGCATAAACATTTGAATAATTATAAAACAAAAACTACATGTTGCAACCAATCCTGCACATCTATGAAATATAGCATAAGCAATCCTACCCATACCCTCATCCCATCCATACATGCCAAAAATGAAGGAAGATTATTTGAGAATTCACCAAGCCTCTTTTAGGAAAGCCTTTGAAAGTGAGTTAATAGTGCTTCGATAGAGTTTCCGTTTTCTCATTCCAGAATCATCCTTTTAATTTACCCTTTTCTCTTTTGTTTAAACAATATTGATTAGGCTACTTTCAAGTCCTCATATAATGTTAAAAGCCAGTGAAAATGCTGCTAAGTAATGAACCCGTGCCTCTTCAAGATTTTCAAGCTCCATGATTTGCTGTATCTGTTCAGCTATACTTTCCTGCACATAGCAAAGGCAGAGTTCAATAAGCACTGGGGGAAATGTTGAAGGCAGTGTGATCCATTTTAAGATTCCAGAAAAATGGATATCTCAAATGATCTGACCAACAAGCTAATAGATTTCATATGAAAAATAGATCAAGGGAAGGGATGGAAAATGTAGCAAAGTGGTGCATACTGCATTGCTAGCCACTTCAGCAGCAAGAACATCAGAGTCCATCTCTACCTCAATCTCAATCATAGAAGAAACCTGAAAAAATATAGCATCAGAAATTCAGCGTGTGTTAACTTTATAAAAGTATGATCAAGGAGGCCCAAATTTTGCTAGAGGTCTATATTTCTTTTTGATCATCTGTAAAGAGAACATACTCTTGCATAGCTTTCAATTAATTCAATCCGTTTCTTGAGTGAATTTTCCAAGCCTTCACGCACCCGTTTGACTCTATTTCTCCTAGCACTGAAAACAAAAAAAAAGTTATTTGACATGAATTGCTGATCCTTTTTTTACTATAATTTACTGTGACAAGATTAAGTAAGGAGTACTACAAATGATCACAAGATTTCACCGATAAGAAGGTTCTCCCACGGCGAAAATTTTGTTCTCCAATTGGCACATACGAGCCAGCATCCAAACCTATAAAAGAAACGAAAATCAGCTTTCACGTTAGAAACTCTGCATCTGCTATCTATCCAGCAAAACTCATGAAAGATGTGAATGTCCCTATCATACAGCTACTGCAATGACACATATATATGCACAGAAAATGAAAAGCACCTCTAAGAATCCTACTTAATATATAACAAGAGTGTCTAACCTTTTCACCCATCACATTATTTCAAAAATGAAATGTGACCCAGACAAGAGTTAATTAACTGATTGCTCTAGGTCATTGAACCAATGCTGTGCCATAATTACTACCCAATAAAAGAGATGCTTCATAAGAACGTTTAGGAGTCAGATCAAGTAATCCTTAAAGACTGGTCCTTATGTGAGAGAAAATTTACTACAGTTCGTGATATTCTATATAATTTTGTAGGTGCTTGTAGAATGTGCAAAAGTGGTCTTTGCATAACTAATGTTCTCCCCTGTTCTTGTTGTTTTCATTGTTATGAGGTTAGTCCAAACCAATGAGGCATTCGCCAAAATGTGCTTGTAAAATAGGTTCAAATTGGTTAACTTTCACAGGGAAGAGTTTATTGCATGTTAGGCTTAAACTAACATTTATCAGGCCCTCAACACCATACCCAGCATGACTCCCTTGGCTTCGTAAGGAGAGAAACAAGAGACTACATGGTAACGTAGTGTCTGACTGGGGCAACAAGCACATGATTTAACCCAAGGACCTTATGAAGACAAAATCCTAGTATTATGTTAGGCTACCAATTACCCATATTGGAGGATGAACAATACATAATAGGCTCTCAGATATATAAATATCAAAAAATTCTCTGTTTGCCTACTTCAAACATAAGACAACAATAATAAATGCAATAGATGTAAACAATAAATCAAATCTAAAGAGATGACATGAAAGAGAGAAAGACTTATTTACAAAAAGGAGAATACCTCATTTTCAGCAGTTGCTTTCAAATCTTTGATGCGAGATTGAAGTCTGTCGTATTGAGATAAAAGTTGCTGCCTGATAGCAATTACATCCACCAACCTTTGAGGTAGCTGTCGCAATTGGAAGAAAATTTAGATATGATTATCGTAATTCTCAACAAGAATTTCCCTCAAAATATTGTAGGTGAAAAAATCATATTGGAAGAGGAACAAGATTTTTCTGATTGGTATTAATAATCAAAAATATCTCATCGCATTGAAACTCACAGTGGAGAGGAAATTAAACATAGTCATCCCCCACGAAAAAATCAACATACAAAAAAGCAACAAAACGAAACAAGAAGCTCATTGGACTATTATTGGTGTGTTGGACCCACAAATTATTATAGTTGTGCTTGTGTTTGTTATCTACCACAGTAGTGCAAGCATAACAGTAATAGGAGATTTCAATAAAATTCAACTAGTACATCCAAATATTTAATGCAGCTTTGAGCTTTTGGAAAAGCCCAAAGCCGATGACTCGCAATCATGAAAATTTTGGGAAGCCTAATAATCGCATTAAATATGTATAAGACCTGAGAGAAGACCAATCTACATAATAGCCTCAAAAAAAAAAATCAGAAAACTACCTTATTTAACTGTGGAAAAACCAGACTGTTTAAAGTGGCTCCAAGAACTAGAGATGAAAATGCAGCAACTGAAATGGCTTGAGGCAAGCCAGGGTCAATAATTCCAGAGGCAGCATCTCCAGTGGCCAGCACAGCAAGAAGTGGAAAGAGTACAGAAGGGTTAAGTATGGAAGTGCCTCCATTTTTTGAGGGTGCTCGCAATAATGGAGATTCTCGGCCATCTCTGTGGTTAGTCAGGCACATAGGCTCTCCAGGGTAGTAGTTGGGGGCTTTTGGACTAAACTTCAAAGGGCCCACCTCTCTATAAACACTTGACGGAGCTGCCAGAGCAATGGTTACTCTTTCTCCTTGTTGTGCAGGTAGATCAACTGTTTCAGTGGCAAACCTGTGTGTCCGAGCCATTCCAGATGGCGTCTGCACCTGCAGAGAAGATAAGTATGGGTTTGATTTAAAATTCCACAAGAGAAATAAATAGTATATATCATAGAAGGATCCGGGGTGCACGTAATGGTCCCTAAAGACATTTTCTACACCAATAAGGAGACCGATCTCTCGGATCCAATGAAGACACACTCAGCCAAAACTTGTTACAACAAAGAGGCTGAGAGACAAATAGACACATGGACAGAGAAAAACGTATAAACAGAAATAAATAATCATTTTGCCCTGTATAATACAAGTACAGTGCCCCATTTCAAGAAAATAATTCTCAAATTTTTTGAAGAAGCCAGACAATGTCCATAGCAATCAGCAGAGCAGTAGAGTTCCATATTAGTATATGAACAAGAGGAAGAAATAGCTATAATGAGCGAGATTTTGGGGAAATAAATTGTTGTCGAACTCCCATTCAAATGATATTTGGGAAAATTACAGGCGGGAGATACAAGACAATTACTGGCACAAAACTCACTTTAAAAATGGCAAGCTGGCAGAGGAAGAGAAGAGTTGATAGAAGTGAAAATATATGAATTGCACATCTGAATATTATTAAATTTACCGGTTGATGTTAAAATAGATGAAGCGCACATCTGAATATAGTTAAGTTTACAGGATGTACCACAATGGAATGAACTGCAGCAGGAACACTTTGCTTTACTATTTGCAGGAATCCTAGCCCTCTTCTCCATGCAGGAATATCCATGCTGCGTTCGGCAGGAGGAGATCCTTAGAAAAAGTGAATATCCATGATCAACACCAAACACAAATATGATCTTTTATGGACAACACTTCAGCAAAATTTAAGGGAAGAAGACTGCTCCATACTAAAAGTGAATATCCGAGGATCAACATCACAAAAAATATATTATGTTTTAGGAATAACAGGAAGCATATGGATTACTGTTATGGAAAGACCGCATGTGACCCTTGTAGAAAGGGAGTAAATGGCTACTGACTTTATCTACCTTGAATCAAAACATATCACAGGATCATCAATCAACTAGCTAACTATTGCATATCCCTTTTCTAGCCATTAAGCAATTATAAGCACGGAAAATAGATCAGAATGAAATAAACCAACCTTGTTTCTTCTGACTCAATATTAACTATGTCGCCAGAAACAAATTCATACTTGTAGCGACACTTGGAACAGGAGACAATCTGCAGAAGAAGTATTATATCCACATTGTCAAATGAACACCATAACAGAATTGAAACAAAATAGTAGTCCGTGTCAACAATTCACAAATTAGACCTCTGAAGATTCTAGGCATTTATTGGCATCTTGCCAAAGACTCACTCAACCAAGCAGGAAAACTCCTGATCTATAAATACTTACATTAATTTTTACTACAAAAAATGAGCCTATAATTCAATTTCATGTAACCATGTCTTCAACATGATGAGGAAATGCCTGTGCAGAAGTACAACATCTAGAGGTAGTCTATTAAGAAGTGGTGTGACTGAGCAACGAGAGCATGTCTTCCCTGTTAGGAAATGGAATCATATTCTAACCTGAGTGTTCAAGGCTGCATGTGGTTAAACCAACCATCTAAAATGCAGTATTATCTTCAGCAGCTATAAACGTGACAAATAACTCAAAGGGGGAAGGAAAAAAGTATTGACTGACATGGTAATGAAGTCAGTCTATTTACTTTCACTGAAACCCTTAGAAAACACTGCAAAAAAATAAAATGAAATATCAAATCTCCTGAGCTGTTTGGATACATACCTCTTCATTTTACCGTCGAGTTCAGAAGTTGACCAACAGTGAGTTGTTTTGAGAAATGGCTTGTTTTCTACCTTGTTTTCTATACGAACCTGAAGGTATCTAGTATCTACTAATTGCTGACTTTAGGCCAACCAAAACCACTCAGTCTTATGCCCAGAAAGCATGGCTCTCAGTTTTCCCAAACACCCCCCGAGTATTCTCGCAAAAGGTACAAGGCAAAATGTTTACAAAAAGAACATGAAAGCTTTTTATGTTCATGCCTGAATACCATGTTGGGGTTGTGCAACAACAACAGCTATCATACAACTAGGACACCTCACGATCTTACCAAAAGGGACCTGCATGAACATCCAACAACTCCATCTTAGGTAACAACAACATAATTGCCAGAGATATGAGAGCATATTTACCAAGAAGCAACATCAAGTTAAAACTTGGCACATTATGGTAATATGCACCAGGGAACTTCTCATGGATTATTGAACTGCAATGTAACGGAAATTATGGGTTTCTGATAGGGTTAGCAGAAAAACGTAACTAGGCCATAGATTCAAGAGAGCAAAAGTGCACATGACCCTTACATCCACAAATGAAAAGTTATAATAGATCGAAATATATGTTACATAGTTAAGCACAACCCCAATAACCAGCCAGCACGAACAAAAGAATAAATGCACCAATACCTCTTCACCTGGAGACACTCCCACTCGGCAAACATTGGCAATCATTCTAAGGGCATCCGAAACCCTCAGTGATGCAGCAAGACCCCGTATTAACACTGTGTAAGTGTTTACATCTGGCCTGGACCATGTCCATCTCTCAACAGACGGACCTTTTTCATCAACCACTGCCCCTCGCATAAAATATTCACAATTTTCATATATTAAATTCAAACGACAAAAATCAGAGAACAGCAAAAACTTCGAAATTGCTTGTTACTGGCATTGGTTTTGTACACATTTCCTAATTTCCTAGTTCTATTCAATCGAGTAGAAAAGATTGCGTATGTATGGTATGTAAATGTAGTGATACTACGAGTGAACCTGGATCGAAGCTGGAACGCATAGCGGAGAAAATTGAGAGGGCCAAGTCCGCATTGTTCCGATCAAGCGCGGCGGAAATAATTGAACAACAATCAGGAGCGCTGACAACACCGCCGCTCCTCTTACCATTATACTTCTCGGCGATCATATCCAATACTTGATTAGCGTCTTTCAGAGATGAAACGCGATTAAAGAAATCATCGTCGGGGTCCAACAATTCCTCAACGGAACTCTCTCTGACCTCGTTTTGGCTCCCACTAACCGAAGCTCTAGTACTCAAGTTTCTAAAAGCGGGGAAGCAGCTCGAAAACTTGTGGTTTCTGAATGAAGATGAATCTGTACCACTGACTATGAGATACAACAGAGTTGTGCTACTGTTGTTGGGGTGTTGAAGAAGCGTGTCTGAGAACTTGCGTGGAGAGGGAAGAGAGAAGGGAGAGAGCCATGAAGAAGGGCACAACAAGTGCAATGTCATTTAATTTTTGTATAGGAGGAAACCTTGAGAAACAGAGCGCTGTGTGTGTGTGAGAGAGAGAGAGAGAGAGAGAGAGAGTTTGTGCGAGTTTTCTGTGTGGGGGAATTGGCGTTGTTGAAGATTAGAAACGAAAGGTCGATAGGAGAAACGAGGAGGGAAAGAGGGTGTGGTGTTCGTATGGAGATAACGAACGTCTACACCCGTACGCCGTCCGATTTAACGGGCATGATATGATTGGTTGATATGTTCAAAAAAACTGAGGAAGACTAAATATTGGAGGTGCGGGGAATCGAACCCCGTGCCTCTCGCATGCGAAGCGAGCGCTCTACCATATGAGCTACACCCCCGGTATACATACTTAACATTTGTTTGTTTTATATCTATTAATATTTTGGACTAATTACAATAATTTTATTTCACTCTTTTTTCTTTTTGCTCTCACGCTACTTGGTTAATGATCGACCAAAATCAGTACAGAATACACCCATCGTTACATTTTCTTCATTTTTTATTTAAGGTCAAGGATATCTAAATCAACTTATGTATATATTGAATAATTTTTTTCCTCGTTTGATTAAAAGTAAATTATTTATAACGGTACTAGAATATTCGTAAAAAATAAATTTTTTATGACTTAATTCAAAAGAATTGTCAAAATTCAAATTCAGAACGTTTGAGTTTATAGCTCATTCTTATTATCACTTAAACTAGATTTATGTTATCATTGCCTTTTCTTAAGCCCAAGGGTAAATCATGCTACGAGCATTTCTAACTCATTAGCTATTCTTCAATATTTAGTTATTTTGTCAAATTTTACTCCAAAAATCAACTCCAACCCAGTTAACTATCCTCCTCATCAAAACCTAAGGGGCCTTCATACTCGTCAGACCTAGAGAGGCCAGCTTACTCGCCACTTCTGGCTGCCGATCAACTTCCTCTATATTGTTGTCGTTGCTGTTGAAAACCAACCCCCCCCCCCCCCCATTTTTGTTGTCGTTATTGCCAAAACACAGCTCCCCACTCCCTTCTGTTTTGCTGCCAAAACCCATCCCCATTCTCTATTGATTTTTTGTAATTAATTGGTATTGATTTTTGGTTAAATATGTGGTTAAATTGCTATTAATTTTTTTTTAAATAGGTGATGAAATTGCCATTGATTTGTGGTTAATTTAATACAATGTATGGTTGAATTGTTTTGATTAATAGGTTTTTATTACTTGAAATGGATGAGTATTTAAATAGTTAGTTAAAATAGAAAACGTAGTTAGAGTAAATTTTAAAAAATAACTAGTTAAAATAAAAAATAGAATATTTAAATATATTTTAACTAACTATTTTCCTGAACTGAGTTGGAGATGCTTTAATTTGCCCAAAACTTTACTCTAATTAGTATTTATCTTCTAGTCTAAAATATGCTCCATCAAAACGGTGTATATAATTCATATGTATTTGGTCTGATATCACCAAGTCTGATTGAGATTTCAATTTATGTGAAATACCAAATACCAAGCAAGATATTAATTGTTTTTTTTTTTTTAATAAAAGTTTGCAAGATATGACCACATTGGACTTGTGTCTGACAAGTAATCCTCAATTCTTGCAATCATCTGTAAACCACAATTACTGAGTTGAATACTAGGATTAACATTGAAAGCCCAATTTGAAATTACACAAAAATACACGAAGGAAACAAGGTACCAATAACCTCAACGATCGGGTAGCTATAAGTCTCTACTTGACCCTTATTCTGTTAGAGTAAATGGTTAAGTGTGAATCAAAAGCAAAAAAAAAATAACCTCAACGTTCTGCAATTATTTCAAAGAGTATCGTTTGTTCTCCAATATTGAAGAAAAACACAGTAGGATGTACGAGCCCCAAATAAAAGCGGCACAATAAATTATTACAGTGACTAATAAGTTTTGCCGGTGGCTTTGTAGCAAAAAGTTGTCCCTCACCCAAAGAGAAAACTTGTTATTCTGATAATTAATATGTATCTACCCCCACTCTTCATGAGGGACCTAAATTTCTGGGAGAAATTGGAGAACAAAAAGCTTCATCAGTTGACTCCATAGATCCACTTCTCTGCGTTGCTTGTGTAACTAACCAACTCCTCTGGTTTGAACCATAAGTTAATTTCATCCTTGGCTGTCTCAGGGCTATCACTCCCATGAATGATATTTCTACAAGGCATAACATAAATCGAATTGTCACGACACATTGCAGTTTTGGAAATAAGAGTCTTGAATAATCCATCATGATTTGTTATCATTAAGTAAAAGATTGTGCTGTTGGTGGATTGATTGATTGATTTTTTATTTTATTTTTATATATTCCAACTGTCCCAGTAGATCACCGCAGTACTACTCGCTTATGCACCATATTAATGTTGAACCTTGTACAAAGTCATCTCTCCTTTCGGTAAATCTATGGGCGGTAGCTTCAAGAGACGATGCTTCGTGGAATTTCCGAATCCCTGACCTACCCCTCATGAGAGGTTTGTCAAGCAGTTGAGCTATGACTAGGTTAACCCTTGGGGTTAATTGAGCTGTTTGTTTTGGTGGGACACAACAGAGGCAATTTGTGAAGTGTGAGTTATTATGGTAGATTAAGAAACCGAAAAAAAGTTGCCCTAGTTTGGTATACCTTCCAACCTCAACAGCAAGATCACCTCTGATGGTTCCAGGTTCTGATTTCTGGGGATCCGTGGCTCCAATAAGTTTCCGACCATATTTTATCACTCCCACACCTTCCCAAACCTGAAAAGGTATGTAAATTAAGTTCAATTTGCTCACAATCAGTTGGCGAAAAATGAAAGAGAGTTGACAGTTCTTCTAACCATTGCAATAACAGGGGCAGAGCTAAGAAATTCGCAAAGGCCATTAAAGAAAGGTCCTTCCTTAAGATCATGATAATGCTTCTGAGCAAATTCCTTCGAAGGAACTACAATTTTGATGGCCACAAGCTTATAACCTTTCCTCTCAAAACGTGATATGATTTCTGAGATCTGAAATACATGGAATCTGTCTGAGATCGAGAAAATGCACTCCTCAAGTGAAGAGCAAATGCAAAATATACAGATGATGTAAAACAACAAGAAGCTGGTCAAAACAAATGATAATGTGATTCACAGAACAGATATATAGGTCTAAATGATATGTCTAGATGCAAATAAATTGTTCCCTATTTTTCTATTCTTAATTTAAAGGGGAGAATGAACAAGATGATGAGGAGGAGGAGAATTAGAGACACATATTCGAGAAAATTAACCAGATCGGAAACAGATAAACAAAAAGAGATTGCTTAAAGATATCCCAATTCTGTGCAAAAGTGATTTTTGAAAAGGTACAAATGTCTTTGAAGTCTTACCAGGCCTCTCTGAACTCCATCAGGCTTGATAGCAATAAATGTACGTTCCATCTGGAAAGAGAAGGTGGAACATGAGATTGCCAGAAAGAACGATACATTCAAAACAAAAAAACAATAAAAGAAAAAGGAGAGAAAGGGTAATGGCATATAATAAAGAATCATTAGGCAATTAGAGTACCTCTGCCGCATGTGCCTCTTGCTCCTGAAGCATGTAAGCTACAGTATAAAGAAAGAAAAGACAGGAGGAATGAGAATTCAATGCTGAAATAAGCTCTAAACATGAGAATATGATGCACCCAATAGATTCCACAAAACCACAGATATCATAAATGTAACCAGAAATCAACAACAGAGGAGCTTTAAAGTATGTGGCACGCAAGTTGTATATGTTAGCATGATAACACTGATGCAGCAGTGAATATTCTTAGCTATTGTTTCGGAGAAATATGGGATGAATTCAATTTATGAATACAACCTGAGCAAATTATTTCTGCCCATTACCATTCATGAACATGGTACAGTTATTGCAGAAGAGGTTCCAGATGCCACAATGCTAAATCTTGAACAAGGGACAAACCTCCTCTTCTTCTCAATTTCGCTCACAAGCACTCAACTCGTACAAGCTATCAATTCCTGCTTAAATCCCATAATTCTAAGCTGTCTTACCCTTATTTACACAACCAAAAAAATATCAAAACTGTCATTGATGAAACCCAAATGTGAGTGAACTATTCAACAGTGTGGAATTAGCATGTTTTATATAACAGAGAAAGCACATTAGTAGACAAGTAATGGACAAAGCCAATAGACCAAAACTATTATAGTCTAGTATATCAAATTTTTTATCTACAAACTTGACATACACACATACATACATGTAGAGAAAGCTAAGCTTCTCAACCTAAATAATTCCCTTTCCATCCTCAAAATAAGAAGTGGGGGGTGAGCAGCAGTCATACATCCAAACACATTCCAAGCTTCCAATCTGAAATTTAATTTCAAGACACAATGAAAGAACATGTAGGAATAATAGGATAAATGCCTGGTTTTTCAGTCAAAAGATTCAAATCGACATGAAGACGTACACAATCCTGGTTTTCACACGAAGTCAACATGGTGAGAAACCACAAAATGTGGTAGGAGACTCAAATTCTAGAAAAGAAATAAAGCAAGGGAGCAACTAATGAAGAAATGCATAGTAAGGGAAGTTTCATGATTCAAACCTGCAGCAGGAAGGGCAAGGGCTCCAGAAATCCATCCTCTAGATCCATTTCCAGAATCAGCCTTCCCAAATGAAGCTAGATACGGCACCTTTCCTTTGACCAAAAATGCTGTTGCTGCAGCTGCTGCCCGCCCTTCTGAAATTAAGATAATTCTGCACAATAAACAAAAGATACATCCGGGCACCTACACAATAGCAGTATCTGCTTTTTAAATACACCCACGTGAAATCAATGTGTTTGAGAGAATCTAGAGTTTAAAGAAATTATTGAGACAAATTATGCCCACAAAATACCAATTAGTTAAAGGAAGTTGATGAATTAATCCAGCAATGGCTATATTGCTATATAAAACCTCAATATATTCGTCACATTAAACCAAAAAGAGCCCAAGCATGAAACATATGAAACCAAATTAGCCTGAAATTAGGGTCCCAAGTTCATTTATTTGGTCAGAGGTCCCAAGTTCATCAATGTTTCAATAATTGATTCAAAGTACATATTTATTTTTTAGCCGAAAAAGAACAGTACCAGAATGATACTCAGTAAAAATATTAAATCAAATGCAGAAAATAACATAATGTGCATAATAAGAAAAGAACCGATAGCAAGAATCAACATGAGAAAAAACAGGAATAACTTCTCAAAAACTTGAAATCCACAGCGAGAACTTAACTAAATTAAATGAATACTTAGTAAATCCGTAGAACTCAATGGAATGTACTTTAATGAAATGAAGTGAAACATGTAATGAATAACAAACAAACAATAACACACTGAAGTAGTAAAAAAAGAGTTATGTTAAAATTCCAAACGTGTAACCGTAGAACAACACACAAAGAATAAAGATTAAAATGTTGGAGAGGGACAATTCTAATACCGGAAAAGAAACGAGAGCTCTGCTTCGGAGCAGAGAGGAGAGACCTCGCAGCTCGAGAAGCTGATCTGCAAATCTGAGAGCTCATCTTCGATCAGTTACAAACAAACAGAGACAACCTCTATTTGTAGCTTTTGGCCGCTGGAGAGAGAGAGAGAGAGAGAGAGAGAGAGACTCGGATTTGGAGAAACTCAAAAAGGCAAAGATGCGGTTTGGTTTTGGGTTGCGTGAGAGAGAGATGTGTGTATTGGGTTGCACACTTGTTTTTTGTCAAACCCCCAGCCGAACTCTTGGGCTGACTAGTGAGAAATGGTTGAATTTGAAACTACCTTACCTAGCGATCATTACTGCCACGACGTCGTTTTTGGACGCTCTCCTTAAACGTGGATCACGAGACAACCCATATCGGGGGATATTGCATATCCACCCCTTCAGGTTTTAAAAATCAGAGGTTCTTCCCTAAGTTTCCTAGAATTTCCTACAATCTTTTTATTTCTTTCCTTTTTTGATAAGCCAATATACTTGATACAAAATACAAAAAAGATCATAAAGGATTTCGATAATTATGATACGGAAATTGGCATGGCATCCCTTGCCTTCACTAATTAAATGATAGATTGCCCCCTTTCATTGGATATATCATCAATTCTAATGGATCCCACCCGAAAAAATTACAACCCTAAAATACCCTTCCAACATGATAAAATATGAGTAAAATGAATGGATTAGGGAACAGGGAATAATTAACAGGTGACCAGAAGAGCAGGAGATACAAGAGAGGATACCTTTCCCTACCACGGTCGGATCAGTCACCGAACAAGTTGATGACCCATTATTTGTTTTCTTTCTTCTAGGGAATTGCACGCTAACCACCAGAGCCACTATTGACATAGTTCTTTATTTCACATTACTTGCACATCATTTTCACACATGAAATAAGAAATAACATTTGTTTTCAAAAATCTAGAATCGTCTACATGTTCTGTGGTTTTTTAAGTTATAATGTAAAATCAAAATATAAGCACACAAAACGTTCCTTGCAAAACTCAAACTTAAAATCTCAACTCATGAGACATTACAAATTGAAACTCTACCAGCCAAACTACAGTGAGGTTTGGACGCAACATTGAGTTGCTATCACAGCAGAGTAAGCTAACTCGGAATGTACCAAAATAACCTGCAGAAATTTTACATAGCAATCCAGCCTGAATCTAAAATTTATGCTTTTCAATCGCCAAGAGGGTAAACCCGATAAAGAAAAATAATCCCTTCACGCCAAAAGTAAAGAAATTGAACATCCATCTCCATATATATATATATATATATATATGTTTGTGTGCGTGTGTGTGTGTGCTACTCAACTCTCAAAGTACTGCCTTACACAGCGGAACCTAGAGTGGAAGCCACAGCTACCTATCAAAACCAAACAGTACCAGTTCCAACAGCTACCGTTCAAGAGTTTGTTTGAATGGGCATTTCTACAAGTAGTGCATAAAGGCCTGATATGGTTTAAATGCTAGAAACGCACAGTTCAGTGCTCAACAAAAATACAGCTTGACGGTGTAGCTCTCCTAGTTCCGAGAACTATTGTCGCTTATATCAGTAAATACAGCAAGGCTTCTTCTTCTACAAGAGCGTTACGCTATGTACAAAGCATAATGAATTATTTCCTTGGAAATTACTTTCAACTTCATACTATCAGATTCCAAGGTACTGCTTTACATTCTGGACCTATTTACAGTGTACAATTACAAATTTGCCAATGATATTACCATTGTCACGTCTTTCTCGAATCCTCAAGAGTTGTATCAGAACCCAATTTGCAGTCGACTTGTAATGTCGTCAACCAAGAGTCCACCTGATAGATAGGGAGAAATTAAAAAGGAAAAAAAAAAGAACAAAAGAAGTGACAACCAATAATGAAAAAGATTGTTGTCATTGTTCATTCGCCGTTGGGACTAGAGAAAATCCCAATTTCGAATCACACTAAGCCCAAGTAGAGCTAATATAAACCAAAAAAAAAAAAAAAGGTTAATTACAATTTGCCCCCTTCAAGTTTTAAATGAACTAAATTATATAATTAGTTGAAGAAAATTTGTAAAATGACTTTTATACCCTTGAGACTTTATTGACACCCAACCCATTTTCTTTTTTTGTACTCCTTCCTTTACCCATATTGGCGACCAGCTCCAACGCCACCGCCCCCAACACAACCTTAACCAAGCAACTACCACCACCTCCGTCGCCCCCAACACATCCTTCACCAAGCAACCACCAACAACTACCAAACCAAGCAACACCCACCAGCTACCAACCAACCAAAAAGAAAAGAGAAAATCAAGAAAGAAAAAGCCCATTGCAAATGTCATCTACTAACCTTAACCACCATGGTTGCTGTAAAATTCCCAAGACCCATAGCAAATGGGAAAAATCTTTGAGAAAGAGAATCCATTGACACCGAAATGGGTCTAGTAAGCCTCCAACCCCCGTTCTGTACTTCAACAGTGCCCCCCAACCCCCATCTTTTTCTCCGGCGTTCCCCCAACCCCAAACCCTTGCTCCATCGGTTCCCTCAAACCCCCACCCCCTGCCCCAGCAGTCCCACCCCCATACCCAATGCCAACAACACCCCAAAACCCACCTCCGAAAAAAACGAAAACTAAAACTTATCCACACACCCCCAATCCCCACTCGAACCAAGGAACCCTTGCCCACCTCTCTGTGAATAGCAACCCAAGTAATAAAATTTCGAAGACCTTTTGCCATTTATAGCTTTTTCGTTCACCGACCATCCGAACAAACTCGAGGCAATGGAAGAAGCTCTTATCGCGATTACATCGATAGACCTCTGAACGATGCCGATAGACCTCTGAACGATGCCGATAGACCTCTGAATGATGCCTAGGGTGTTCTCCATTGGCATCAATTTTTCACACGAGTTTAGGATTGATCAAAACTTTGAGGCTTTTGAGGGTTTCTATTTTCACTCGATTTCACCGGAGGGGGAGGGAGTGGATAATCACCGATTGAGTGAAGGTGGGGTTTTACCGGGTTTTTGCACTTTTGCTTGTGGAGGGTTGGGTTGTTTTTGGATTGAAGGGTATAAATATCTTTTAATGGTGTTAATGTTGACTTTTATCAATTAAGATGGTCAAGAATAACGGGAGGAGGGTAATTGAGATATGTTAAAACTTGAAGGGGGCAGATTGTCAAAATTAAAACCACGGGGAGCTGATTGAAACACGACCCAAACTTGGAGGAGCCATTTTGTAATTAACCCAAAAAAAAACCTTATACCACCCAATGACAGAAGAAATTTCTGAGTTTCACATCCATTGGAACCTCTATCTCTCTCTCTCTCTCTCTCTTGGAAAAGTTAAGGAAAAGAATGGCAATTGTTTGAAAAATGAAAAAACTAGGATGCTTCCGGTCTCTGCTATGCAATCTATCATTGATTATCCCTCAAGTTGGAGACACCTGGGACATGGTATCAAAGATGAAAACTTTTCCTTCAAATAGACACAAATAATCATTTGATAAACAGTGCTTATGCAGAGAGTACTTGCAGCAGTTTGGCTATCGTGTAACTGGATCCAACCCAACAGTTTATAATGGAGATTTCGACAAGCACATTTCAGCAAGACTCGATGCTTAAGATCAACTTTGACCTACACTTTCCAGATGGGCACACCATCCTGTAATTTTGAGTAACTCCACAAAAGTGTGTGTTGCCACCAGACCATCAAATATTATATGTCAAGATAGATGTGCATGTGAAGCATTGAAAGGCAGGCACTCATAACTACAAGGTTCAATATCTACATTACGGTAGATACAGTTACTTGAAGTACCTGTATTTTAGAGAGACTTGAGCATTCATAACGCAGCCCATGACGAGTTAAGATATAAAAGCAATATCGAACTTCCTCATCTTCTCGTGTGAATGATGGCAGGGGACCTACTTCAACAACATCAGATAATAGGGTGGAGTCCTGAGGACTAAAATCTGAAAAAAAAATTAAGTTCAGCAGCAAGCAATTTTTGTGCATGTGTCTTCAATAATAGTTATGCCAAAAAGAAAAAATGGTTGAAGTATAATGAACTTCATACATTAAATAGATTCCCCCAACAAGTATGGAACGTACACAATGATATTAATCTGTCATTAGAGAGAATGCAGTGCCTAGTCTATAGGTAATCAAATTGAATAATCCTGCCCACCTAAAAAGTGAGATTAAAAAGCAAGAAGTCCAAGAATTCGAACAAAAGATAATACTTATTTAAGTTGAAAACAGAAATACAGGAGTCATACTAGTAGTAGCGCCAACTTTGCAAAATTATTTCGATACAGGAGTTCCTCCTATATGCTTTGGGTATGGTTTCCAAACAAACAAGTTAAGACAGTAGACATCCTCATGTCTACTGTGTTATACTTTCCTTTAACATCGGCAAACTCGAGGAACATCATGCAGGGTCGAACCAATTAGATTATAGTGTTTGGCTACATCAATGCCACATCAAATTAGTTCTTACTGATTGCTAAATAACACCTACCAATTTGTTAGCCTTTATGCACCAATGTAAAAAATGCCACCTGTGCTTTAAAACAAATTGCTTCATTAAGAGAAAATACACAATTCCGGTAGCTGTAAACAATTTCCGCAACGAAATCCGATGATGCAGTTGAGTAGGAAGAATGACCCATGCTGGATGTCGGTAACAAAAATTAAGCAACATGATAACACTGGCAGCCCAAAACTTTAATTGATTACCTGTGGACAGCAAATACAGGAAGATGCATGATCCATGAAGAACAACAAAACGTGGAAGCCAGTCGTCAACTTCAGTATCATCAATAGGAGGAGGTTCCCCAGGTAGTGCTGCCCATCTCTTACAAGAAAAGATACAGGAAATTCGTCAATGAAAATGATAAAGTGCACAAAATAGTGAAGTCTAAGACCCATACAAAGTGAAAACACTACAGAGGAGAGAATTAGTACAGTCCGCATATCCAAATAGCCTGACAGATGAGCAGAACGCAAAATTTCATCAAGATGTTCCAACCTGTATGGAACACAAGAGTCTTCGGTTGATACAGAGAACAAAGCATGGCAAATAAAGATGCAATATTATAGTAAACAGAAGACCTAAACAACAAAGTAAAACATAAGACATCTATGCTTTCTTTACACACTGCAAGCGTGTCTTTCCCGCTAACTCCACAGTTAAATTATAAAAGACTTCCCTAACAACTTTGGGAACATAGAGAACACCTTTCTGAATAACAACTTGAAAAACAAACTCATGCCTCAGATACAAATACTACCATCAAGGCAAATTAATGACCAGATTTAATCACTTGTCAGGTACTCCAACTTAATGTTAAGTGTGTAGAATTCATAACATAATTCACATGCCAAGACACCAAGAATGCGAAAAAACATGCATTTTTTTGAAGGGGAGTGGGGGCACATAATATGCCCAGAGAGTAAAACCAGCATCTTCCAATGTCAAAACCAAATATTAAATTTTCCTTACTGTGCTTTCAAATGAGCTTCTCTCTCTTCTAAATCAGCAACTTCGGAACGAAGGGACTCTACTTCTGTAGCAGTTAATACAACCTGCAAGCCACCAATCATTACAGTTGTCATTAAAACTGAAAATCGCTCCACTAGTGGTGAGCTGAGCAAAACCATTTTATCGACCTTATCCTGACCACCAGCGCCAGACACCCAAGGTAGACCTTTTAAACTGAATAAGCTCAACATTGATGCAGCGCTTTGTAATTTTCTTCGAGCCCACAAACGGCTATGGGACCTATGCTAAGGCAGAAAAAGGAACCTACACTGAAATCAGTCCAAAGCATTTAGTTCTTTTGGCTAACTATTCTTTCAAGAGATATACCTCAAAGAGTTATTAGTCCTCGAATCTGAAAAAGTGGAAGTGCTTGTTTGAGAAGTGTTTGCAACGGATGTTGGAACTTGAAAATGATCTTGGAAAATCTCTATTCCCCGAGGACCATCATCCATGAAGCTTCCTTCTACTTGGCAAATCTATCATCACAATATTATGAAATTGTAACTCATATCAAAGAATCTACCTAAATAAGTTAAAAAACATCAGATTCAACACATGGAAATCAATATCTTAATCAAAGAACCATCTGATACCGTTCAGATATTTTAAGATTACCAAATTCCATCACAAACTATTACTGGAGGGGCAAATAAATCTCTCTCCCCAAATCTTTGAATAAACTACCGTCACAGCATATTGCACTAATCAATTGCACTAATCAATTGAGAATCGAGTTAAGTCTATAGTTGTAGCCTCTATGAAGACCAGATTGTCTTGTATTGACTGTGAAATAATAATTTCCCACAAATCGAAACCTTCACGGTGCAAAAGTATGGGTCTGCAAAATCAGTGGTCATAGATGTTACTCCATGTATACAGATTGGGTTAATTACACTTTTCACCCTTAAAGTGTGATTCAAATCTTAATTGGGCCTCAAAGTTTTTGGGACACACTTGAGGGTGAAAAGCGTAATTGACCCCCTAGACTAGTGCATAAGCCTGGGAATCATGATAGGAAGATAGAGGCAGCATTCAGCTCCTAATAACAAAGGAGACACGACCAGCTTAAAACATCATGCAGCAAAGAAGCAATTCCAAAGGCATTCCTTAGAGAGATGATTGCCAGTCAAAACAGCCACACATTCATCGGGAAAAGGAGATCCGGAGCTTTATTTCAGCAACAACTAATACGTTAGATATGTAGTTCAATGCGGTTCAAGGAGAACATTCAGAGACGACTCTATAATCTACCACCATATCTCATCCAAACATAAATAGCTGTCCGTAACAGCTATCAAGAAGTTTTGATCCAAATACTTCATCCTAACCCTATTGCAACCTTCATGAATGGGTAATTATGTCAACTCAAGTCAAAAATACAAATCCTCCTCTAAGTGTAAAATATTCAGACTAGATGCGCAGTTACATTTTCCCATTCTACTACATCTAGGAACATTTCCATGTAAATTAATACAAACTTTCTCTACATCAACTAGAAAATATTTTGAGTTGCATCAACCTAGAGGTCAATTACTTACAAATTAAACTATAGCAAAATCAACAAATAAAAAATCCAAGTCCTAAAGCTCCAAACTAAGCTTTCAAAATCCTGATAAATCAATGTTTCAAATCTTGAAAAAAGAGAGGAAAAAACAGCAATTTCAGTTTATTTTGTAGAAAAGTAGGAGCCTAAAAACTATTGAAAAAACAGCAATCTGCGACAAATTAATTACCAGTGAAAAGCTAAATTTTACATGATCCAGCCAAAGAAAGCTAGTAAATATGTATAACTGCACTCCTTAAAACTTCAGATCTGAGCACTTCGTTTTATAACAACAACGCTAACATAAATCGATAAAATTAATACTAGGATATGCGAATCATACATGAACACATCATTACGCAACAAGTTTTATATAGCAGATCAAAATCAAATGAGAAAAATAAACAAGTTAGACGGAGAAACAGCTTGTTCGGACGGACCTGTACGATGATGCTTTTTGCAGAGACGGAGGGGAGCTGATGAAACTTCCTTCTTGTGTTCTTCGAAAGTTGTTTGACACCATCAAAAATCATGATATGACTGGTTGGTATGGTACTATAGTTTGATTCAGAGTTGTTTGCGTGAAATTACCCTTCTACCCTCTTGGCTGTTCGATATTATTGGGCCAAGTTACGAACAATTTATCGGATGATTGATGGGCTATTTGGAAAATTCAAAGTGACATTTTTTTTTATCATACAATTTTTAAATTAACAATAATAACTCTTACAGCTTTACATATCCGTTTTAGATAATACATATCCAGACTCATCATGTAGATTGTAGAGTCCAACTCCCACACCCAAACTTGGGAGAAGTCGATTGCGTCTTGCCATGTTTTCGTTTGCCATGATATTTGTTTATTAGTAAAATAGAAGTTTTTTAGTAACAACTGTTGGGATTAAAGCCCTAAGCTCTTATCCATCTTTAAATATGAGATGGTATTATGGTATTACCCCTTTATCAAATCACTTGATAATGAGTCCAAAGCCATCCAAGTCAAAAAAAAAAAGAGGGAAAAAAAACCCAATTCCCCACCATCCCCACAACTCCCAGCCTGCTAGCCACCACCATCACGACCAACCCATCCCCACCACCACCCCAGTGTCATTATTACCATCGTTATTAACACCATTTAAAAGTTACTATCTCCACTATCGTCCACCTACACCATCTCATTACAACCACCGCCCACCATAAATCACTATTCCACTATTATCATCACCACTTCCACCTCATTGTATTGCCACCCCTTCATCTATTTATATTGTTATCATCGTTACCACCATTGTCACTATTACTACCACCACCTCCTTACGGTCACTGACATCATGGTATCTTGATGGTGGTGGTGACATTGATTCTGATAGTAATAGTGGTGATAGTGACATTAATAAAGTAGTGCTGACATTGAGTTATTAGATTTAAAGGTGACAAAAACGGTGCTAGTGATGACCAAGTGATAGTGCCAAAGGGAACAATAATAAGGTGGTGATAGAGACACCGACAACAATGGTGAGTTGATGGTGGCGGTGCAATAGTTGAGTGGCAATAGTGGTGATAGCATGGTGAAGGCAATGATGAGTCGAGTTATAACTATTTTTCAATCAAATTTTATTTCGGTTCAATAAAAAGATAAACTTACCTAAATATTAGAATATATATATATATATATACACTTAAATCTTATTTATTTCCAAACATAAAATTTCAAGTCTATTCTCACGTGTTCATTTAATTCCCACTTAAAAATATTAACACAAACCAAACACAACCTAAGTATTTTTTATACCATTGTCTCTGAGGTGTATGTTAAATGTTATAGCTAGGTAAGTTTGGTAATAACCGTTGTGCACCTCCATCCTTTGCCTTGATAAATGATAATCGCCAGTGAAATTGGTTATGTGCCTACCCACGTGGATCCAATAATTAATCCAAATACCTTTGTTTTCCACTAAAAATGCCAGCACACCACCACCTTGTCACCTCAGTATATTCGCATAGAACCTATTTACTTATGCCGTCCTACATCAAGGTGGAGCGAAATGCTCCAACTAATAGTAGTAATAATAGTAAATAGTAGTGGGAGTAGAAATCTCCGAAGTACGAAATAAAATAAAACCCCACCACAAGTAAATTTTTTTTTTCAGTCGATCGGCATGGAAGTGCAAAGAAGAAAACTTCCAGATATTACGAACAAACTCTCAGATGCCATAAAGAATAATTTTTAAAATTAAATCCCCAAATTAAGTGTAAATACTATTCTCCTTAATATTAACCCTCTATTTACGAGAGTTTACAAAAGTTCAACACATCAAGCCTGCACAATACGTACAAACTTGATGGAATGTATAAACACCGACAACATTATTTTTCAAGTTTTGTGCGGCCAAAGAACAACACTGGCGGAACAGACGCAAGGAATGGATGGGATTATGGAGGCAGCCACAGGGAAGGGGGAGGAGTTGGGAGATGGACATGAAGAAATGCTAATCAAACCATATGCTAAAACATCCAATTTTCAGTGTACATGATCTCACCTTTAAACCAAGTCAACCAAATAACAATGTAATGGCTCAAGTCCAAGGGTGACTTGCATTTTACACCCAAAAATTTTAAGATTCTCACTTTGTATCCACATATTAAATTTCTCACAATGTACCTTCAATATGTTAAAAATGTTATAATATGACCCTTAAGTTGACTTTCCATTAGTTTTTTCATCCATGTCAATGTATTGACTTTTGACAAAGAAAATAACCAAAGCTAACAAAAAAATCACATTACAACACTTTTGATACATTAAGAGTGCAATTAAAAATTTTAATCTTTAAAAATACAAAATAAAAATTTTAAAATCTTTCACAATGCAAAGAGCAAAAAACCCCAAGTCCAACGTCTATTTTATAATGATTCCTGCCTCCTAACACATTAGGTAAAATAACCTTTTCGAATTACCCAAAAAAATAAGGTAATATATAAGAGGTAGACCCACATTTTCTAGTAATTTCAGAAACCATTCATTTGAATTCCAATACTTCATGAGAATTTATTTCCCGTCAAAGGCATATATATACCAGACTCTAGCAGAGATGCCACAGGAGGGCATCAGTCAGTCCCTCCCATGTTATGGCTTATGCCATACTTCCCACCGCCACTGCAAAAAGAGAACTTCCTTAGGAACATAAATTTTATGCATGACAACAAATGGATAACAACAGAGGAGCAATTTCCACAGAAGTACCTGATAATCGAAGGATGGACCTCCGAAAATAGGAAGCAAATGCCAGCATTCTCAACGAGTTCCCTTATAAGTCACCAAACAAAGGATGCTGGCCCTACAGACCCCTACCAAAGGGAACCCAAAGACCATGCTTCGAATCTTGAAACAAAAAGGCAACACAAAAACAGTTGGAAACATTGAGCTTTATTGATTAACCAAGATGAGCAGCAGGCACAAGCTTATACCATAGAATGCATGATTTCAAGCAAAAAATGGCATTTAGAAAAACTGAACGAAAATATAAATTGTTTCAATGTGTACTTTCAGGGCAATGATGTATCCGACTTAAATTTACTAACCCAGACTCAATTGACTCTGGCATCACTGCCCCACACACATCAGAAGATACATCAGAAAAAACAAGAGGATCACACTTGGTATCAAACAAATTTTGTTCCTTGTAGTTAAGGGCAGAATGATTGCCTCCGGAATTGATAGACTTGTTTACATCTTCTATCCTCCCGGGTGATTGAGCATCAGATCCTTCAACATCTTTGAGGGAGACAGAGTTCTTCTCATCCATAAACTCCAATGACTTCTGATCTGAACTCGGATCCACCTCCATTTTCACCTTGTTCAAATTGGAAAGAGGCTCCTCTGATTTCTCCAGGGTATCAGTTACTACAGGTTCATCCAGCTTCGAATACACAGTTGCAGGAACCTCCTCCAGCGTCTGAAAGCAGATTGGCATCTCAGCTTTCTCCTTACTGGCCTCTTGCCAATCACAAGCGACAACTAATCCCTCCTGGTCAGATGTTGGGCTACGCTTGAGGTCCTCCACATTGGCAAATGATATTTTCTCTCCATTTCTGACTTCGGTTTCTTCAAGTTGCCTCTTGTAAAGGGACATGGCTTTCTGCAAGTTAATCAATATATTACAAAAAATAAGAAACTACAATTATCAAAGCATGCAAGATCATGGTCCATAAGCAGTAAAGTGTAACCCTGACAATATGAAAACAAAAACAAAACAGAGGAATAAACAAGCTACGCCAAAACCTTTCTTCATGATAGCATATGCTTACTTTTTCCCATTTTTAAACAATGGAGTTGGTGAAAAAACCAATTCAACCCTGGTAAGCAATTAACTTGGTCCCTGAAGACAACAGGATCATGGAATGTGAACCTTAAAGCAGGACCAATATATCCTAACACTATTATGAAGAATGCACTGTAGCTTGTTTGAGAAAATGAGTTCGCTGTCAGACAAACTTTGGAACCTACGAATGCCTCGCACACAGCGCTATTAGTCAAAAGTTTTGATGCATAATGAATTACTAGTCAGCATGAAATTCGTTATGGATTATAAAAAAACGTAATCTGAAAAATCAAATGAGGAGACATACTCATATGCATATAGATCATGTACAAGCAACAATGGCGCTATTAGAGAACGGTAATGAATTGAAAGAAACAATGCACAAACCTCAGAAGGCATGTACCTGAAATACAGAACTATTTATCGCAGCAAACAGTGAAGCACTAGAAGATTTGGTTGATGCCCTTACTTTGGCTTCTGCAACCTTCTGCCATGATAAATGAGAGAAGATTATTAGAACTAAATAATTAAATCAATACAACCAAAGCAATCCACCAGATAACAAGATAAACTACATCTGTGAACAAGTTGTCAGATTTACCTGCACATATAAAATCTTAGAATCATTTTCATCAGAAATTGTGTTCTGATCCTTATCCATCAAGTTTGCACACTGGTTATACAACTCAGGTTGAGTAAGATCTGTGGAAATGTCAAGCTTGGAAAGATAAACATGCCAAAGAGGAGTATCATCCTTTATTAGCATCTTAGAAATGCCAAGGCTCTCCTCAGAAATAGTCTTGGGAGCTTCTGGAGTGATCCTTCCAAGAGCATCACTGGACTGACTAATGTCGATGCTCTCTGCTTGAAGGTCCAGCTGATTTTGTTCATTCTGAGCTTGCTGACCAGACTGTATATCCCAAACATCATCTACCGGCCCAAGAGCTGAATGATCTTTTTTCTGGTAGGAAGATGGCAACTCCATACTTGCACCAGTATTCTGTCCCTTCCACATGTCTCCACTTGCTTCCCACTCCCGACTGCTTATCTGGGTTCTATTATGGTCCCAATCTGGCCCTCCATAAATGTGAGATTCATCCCCAAAGAGAGCATTGTTTGCATCCCATCCATGCAAGGGAGGAGGGAATGAGCTATCCACAGGATTCCGCCACCCAAGTGGACGGCCCGGGCCAGAAAATCTGCCAGAATCAGGAATATGGTAAGGAACCCCAGTGTGATTTAATTCCATAGGTGGTCTGACACCAAACATTGGTGGAACAGGAAACTGCTGCATCACTGGATGAAAACTAACAGGAGGTGGACCATGTTGGAAAGGCATGAAACCATTTGCCACAGGGGAAGGCCAGTTTGGGACACATTTCCAAGCACTTCCATGCACTCTTCCCAGATTAGGATCGCCGATTCTCCTGTGACGATTGATTGACTTCCCCCTATTGCCATCCTCTGAGGAACCAAAAACTAGAGGGCTGTCAACCCCTGTCCTGTACGAATGAGGAGGAGGAGGAGGTGGTAGAAGAGACTTGGAATTGCCATAAAATTGACCACTTCTAGTAAAAGATGAAGAAACAGATAAATTATCCCCATCCTCATCTCCTGGAAGTGTCTCCATGGGCAACTCACGACTTCCTCTGCCTTCCTTACCAGAATAGTCCTTTGCATCCTTGGAACCACCACTCCTCTGCCCTAATTCTTCAACATCAAGACTTCGCCTAACATTGGATCTATTCAAGTGTCTGCGATCAGCATTTGTTGACGAAGGGGATTTATCCACCATCCACAAGGGCGAAGCACGGGCATCTGATTTCAGATGCCTTTCAGCTGACAACTCACCAAAATGGCTGTCATCCTTCTGGATTGGTTTGTCCACTGACCACATCGAAGAAATTTTATCAGTTCCTCCAGCAGCATTAGCATATTCTCTTCCAGACATTGGACCATGTCGAACTCTCTCTTCGTAAGCATAGTCCCTATACTTTGATTCTTCTTGCTTTGAAAGCCTGGAGTAAAATAAAAGGAAAAAGAAAACAAATAAAATGGTTGTCGGGCTCACCATAGCTTAAAATTGACAATGTAATTAACCAACCAAGGGATTGATTTTTTATGTTCTAATCGAATGAGAGTAAAACCAGTGAAGTAGATCAGAGATTATTATGTGAAAAAGATATACCCAGAAAATATTGAATCAAAAACATAGTTTATGCAAGAAACTTATTTCATAAACAAGGTCAACCCAGTCGTCCCGGGAAGACAAATCAAAACCAGAACTATTTCCTTTTCTGCTTGTTCACATCTTATTCCACCCATTAACACAACTCTTCCAACTTGCAGCCAAGACTCACCTCTTCTACGACACCCTGACCAAAATTTTATTTTGAATCCACCACGCACTTATGCCTTACACTTGAAGAGTAGGCCCCATCTAAAAATCAGAACAGGCTCGGCACAATACTGTAGCTCATCAATTAACGACTGTCCTTGAGTAATATAAACACGCATGTGCACCAGAGCCACCAAATCAATGGGAATATGGATTTCAAACACAATCACATGGGGTGATAAAAACTCATTTAGTTATCAGAACACCCTAACAGTTTCCCAGTATCCATAAAATGGTTCTAGACTCTAGAGGCATCAAACTGGCAAACAAAAAGTGGTCAACATTTCTGTGATGCGACCACATACTTGCATTATGCCATCTTTGTCACGATAAACTTTCTTGATATTGTTATGAGTATCAGCTCCCTTTCCAATCTTATAACATGGCACCTCAAATGGTGCAAAATCTCCTATTTTTCTGGGAATTGTCACCAATTAAACTGATATGACTGTCAAACTGATAATTTCAAAATCCAACCCTACGCAAGGACATTGAGACACATCAGTTGCAGCGCTATAGAAACGATATAGGCGACATGCAAATCAATATAGGGGAGCAATGACTGGGACGGCTCGGACAAGTTGCCCAAGACGTATCCGGGACAACCACAAGTCAAGTGAGACTTGTGGCTTATACGGAAAGTGTATCAGTCATGAAACAGGAGGTGCCAAGTCCAACTCAACCGAGTCATATCGGTATTGATGGATACTTTCAACCATGACATGTACATAGATTTAAGTGCCCAGCATACGACACAAGTTGCTCAACAGTGTGTCCCAAGCCCAAAGAAGACAGGAGTTCCCAAAACTGTCATTGATCACATGTTTATCTACCCATGAGGCTGGAAAAAATTCTAAGGTAACAGCACTATTTATGCCTATATCAAGTTGCACTTATAATAGTTGATTAATCTTTATGCAACAAGTAAAAAGAAAGAAGAGTACCTGTAATTATCTCTTGCTGCCTGAGAGCTTGAACTAGGTGAACTCCTCCGCCTGCTATAATTTAGAGTAATCTCCACATCACCATTCCGTGAGCTAGACCTCCCTCTATCAGAGACTAAGTCTACTTTAGCAGTGCTTAGTGACCTCTTTTCTGCATCAGAACGTTGCTCTTTGGTAGATCTCATATCATCATGATCCTCCTTATCATTGGCTCTTCTCCTTCCCTGATCATCCTTGCGTCTGGTGACTCGATCCTTATAACTTGGACTACCATCACGTGTACTCGATCTCCTATGATAAACATCTGTAATGTTACTCTCATCCCTTGAACGCTTAACATCTGATTTGTGACTGGTGTGATCTCTTGAGCCAAGATCATCTCGGAACTTTACATCTCGGGGTCTCTTCTCTCTGTCAATGTCATCTCCTTCTTTGCCATCCCTATGTCTACTGTCTCTGTCATCATCTTCTCGGTGCTTCTCCTTCTTATATCTATTTTCTCTGTTTCCATCTTCCCTATACTTATCATCCCTGCGTCTATCATCTTTCTCACCATCTTCACGATATCTATTGTCGCTGCGTCTGTTATCTTTCTCACCATCATCATGATATTTATTGTCCCTTTGTCTGTTATCTCTGTCACCATCTGCGCGATATTTATCATCTGGCCGTCTATCCTCCCTGTCACTGTCTTCACGATACTTATCGTCCCTGTGCCTGTTGTCTCTCTCGCCACCTTCACGATACTTATCATCCCTGCGTCTAGAATCCCTGTCACCATCTTCCTGATACTTACCATCCCTGTGTCTACTATCTTTCTCGCTATCTTTTCGGTATTTAACATTGCTCCGTCTGCTATCTCTCTCACCATCATCCTGATACTTATCATCCCTTTGTCTATTATCAATATCACCATCTTCCCGATACTTATCCCCATAACTTCCATCCTTGTGCCTTTCGTCCTTGTACCTTCCATCCTTAGTGTGGTCTGCCCTAGAAGACAATCGTTTGTCATCACTTCCTCTTACCTTATCCTGATTTTTATCTTTATCAATAGAGCCATCCCTTCGTCTTTGTATCCTTTTCTCAAGTTCTTTCTCTAATTCAGGATTTTGTAATTCATCTTGCATAGGCCACCCTGCAAAAAAGAATAAAACAAGAAGAAAAAATGATGTCTAATCAGTGAAATAAACCCACAAGAGCAACCTATTCCACACATACAGAAAGAAGTACACCTTCAAACCTTTTTGGAGCTGAATGCTGTAAATGTATTATGGTGCATCCATTAATATTGACAAAATCATGAACTTAAATGTGTTTGGGAAACAACGGTACTCTAACGAATGAACATGAATCACTTATAAACAGTGACACATGACTATGAAGTGTATCTCATTGAACTAACCACTTGGTCAAAGGTTTCCCTCACATTGCAAAGAATAAATAATTCAGAGAGTAACAAAGCTCTACGCAACAAGAGACTCCAAAGTTCTGATCTACACGTAAAAGAAGCTCACAGTTATCAACAGAACTTTCTGTCTGAACATCACAAACCCCTCTTACTTGGAACTCCCTTACTCTTACAGCCTGGAAAATGCTTCCAGTTATTTAAACAACTTTTTTCCAAAACTTAATAAATTGTCATCCTCTAAACATCAGACATGATGAGAATAACCATCAACAGCATCTATTCCACTGAACCAGATTCTTAGAAAACAGCAGTTTAATGAACTAAAGAACACTTCAGACCTTCTAAACTCAATTTTACAAAGACTCCACCGCAAAACTAGCCGAACATATGATGATTCATTACACTATAGCCACCTTACAACATTTGGGTTTAATACCAAAAATCTCCCCTCCAAACGAAACACATGATAAGACTCGAAATGAGGATTGCAACATCTGTTTTCCATTCCCAGAATCTTCGATCGTATCGGGCCTAAGTCCCCATAGGAAAGAAATTCCGTGAAGCCTCCTGGCAATGACATCTTCTACACGGTTCCCTGGGTTCTTTAACATCTACTTCCTGAACTTGCACAAAAGCAATTAATCATTTCCAAGCATTCCATGTACACATCTCAAATCAGCATTCAAGGCTCACAAAATAGGCCAGATATAGCACAGGTTGTGAATCATATTGATATCTAGCTCATCCTCTCAAAGGGTGGCTCAGTGCAAGAGACTCCCGCGCTGCAGCAGAAGTCATACTTCCTCCAAATAGCCTCTGTTCAGATTCTTCAGAATATCACCTCCACAATAAATTTAAATGGGTAGAGTCCTCTAAACCCACCCTCACTCGTGAAACACATCAGCAACTTCTAAACATCCTTCTTGCAGGTCCAGATAATATTAATGTTGTTCAATTACTCTGTATACGTAGAAAGCTCAAAAAAAAAACAACCAAGCCTTTTACAACAGCTGTCCTTATTTTTGCCAACAGGTTTGGAAGGACATTTTGTCCAAAGATATATTCTCACACCATGTTCAGAAAGTTCCTCAACTTTTTAGAGAAGTGTATACTTACGGGATGTTTTCAAAATTGAAAGTGAATTGAACCAGGATTATCAAAATTCACTAAACCCTTAATGACCTACGATCTTGATACATCGATCCCAAACAGAATGGGTTTGCAATTCAGATCACCAAAATATACGATTCTAAATTGTACACATAGCACAAATATAAAATACATATTAATTATCTACATGTATATAGATTTATAATTATATATTATTTTAGGTAATAAAAATCGAGCACAAATGTAAGATAAATAATAATTTAGTGTTTATAAATGTTCTATGATATCTAATATTGTATAGTAGTGAAAACAATGTAGATAAGAGCTCCCAAACAAATTACAATCCAAAATATTATACCAATTAAACTTACCCCATCCTATCACATCCCTAAAAAAATGTCGTACCATATAACCATACCCGTATAACGTTCTACAGAGACACTCGATCCAAGTATCATTGAATTGAACACAAACACACATCAATATGCCACTGCGACAAAACAACAACATAGTAATGACACACCAAAAAAAAAAGCATTTATCAGTATGCCACAGGGAAGAAGTACCTTACCAGAATTTTCCCTACCTTGTCTGCTCTGACGTTCTTCAGTCAAATCCGCTAATGGCGATCCTTGCTTCCTTACCACTTCTCCGTTCCCTGTGTGCCCTTTCGCATCACCCTTACTGTCCTGACCCTTCCTCTCTTTGTCCGATCCACGTTCCTTTGGCTCCTTTTCCTTCGGTTCCTTCGAATCCTTATACTGATGGAGCTCTTTCCGCCCAGAATCCTTTTCACTCTTCCTCTTCGAGTCAGTTCTAGTACCACACTTACTCTCCTCTTTCCCCATTGTACAACCCAAATTCTGGTCCTTCTTCTCTCCACCACTTTCATGCCTCCTAGTACTTTTACTCTTCGAATCATCTGAAACCTTCGATTCCCCCACCTTCAAACCTTTCTCTGAATCAATTCTCGAACTTTCCCCTTTCAATTCCTTCTCCTTAGTCCCACCATCGCCCTTCTCATCCCCACCGCCATTCCACCTACCACTGCCGCCACCCCGACTTCCGTCAGCCGCCTTCTCTTTCCGCCGCTTCGACGAGACATACTCTTCGGAAACATCACCATTACCATTCCCATGACCAGATAGATCTTTACCCTCTCTACCAAGCTTTCGCTTTTCACCAGAAGCCGAATGGACCGAATCCCTAGAAACCCTAACCGCACCATCTTCCTTACTGTTATTCCTTTCCTTCATCTTCACATCCTCCTCCGACTCCGAGTACTCTTTCGCCTCCTTCTTGATTTGCTTGTGCGATTTGTGCCTTGAACTTCGCGGCATAACTAAACGATATAAATATCGAACAATACAAAGCCCAAAACTCCTAATTAAAACCCCAGTTCTGGACTTTCGGCTAGAAATGCTAAAATCCCATCGATTCAATCATAACAACACACCGCCACGAAAATACAAATCGGGAACCTGACAATTCCGGCAATTAAGTCGTCGAAAACCTGAAAATTAAACTTTCGGGAGACTTTGACCGATCAGATCGATTAATAATAACAGAGAGATTGATACATATACCTGAACACTATATATATATAGAGAGAGAGAGAGAATGACAAAGAGAATCTGGAAAATTGATGAGAGAGAGAGAGAGAGAGAGAGAGAGAGAGAGAGAGAGAGAGAGGCGAAGGTTTGATATCGCTGTTGATGCTGCAGCGGAAATAGAATGAATTCGGATTGGGGTACCGAGGATAATTGGGGATGAAATGACCAGGATGGCCTTGGCGAGGTTTCATATTTACGGGGATGTTTAGCTGTGACGGTTGCTTTGTTGGCAGAAAAAACTATGTCTATGGGATTAAATTAAGAGATTTTAAAATTTTACTTTTTTTGTTTTATAAAATATTAAGTAAATTTATTAAGATGGTAATGATTTTCTCCAATAATTAACATCATATTGGAGAAAGAGTTTGAGTTATGGTGATCAAAAGAGTTTTCATCATTATTTGATTGAGATGAGATAATTGAGATTGGATTAGATTTTAATTAAATTAAAATTAAAAAAAATATATGTAATTTTAAATAATATTATACACTTCAAGAAATATCTACTTAGTTTTTCCCTCTCTTGAAAAGTACAAAACTGTCATTTGTGTGTATATCTAAGATCCTCCATCGTCAACTAAAATCGGGGGGGTATAGTGAAGATTGCACTATCAGCACAAACTTATTTTGTGGCCAGGAACGCTTGATACCGAGAGAAAGGCCTCTCACTCATTGAAAAAATACCCTTCGCTTTCTGACTGATGTGGTGTTGCACACTCATGGCTTCCTCTTTCAATCTCCAAAGCCTCCATGGCCCTTTCCTCCACAAAACCCACTTTCTTGGTCAAACCACCCTTCTTCACAGACCATCTTTCATACTTCAGAAACCACCATCAACCTTTAATAGTACTAATGTCGCTGCCAAGTTCAACCTCTCTGAGATCTTGGGAGGCAGAGGTCTATGCAATGGGGAAGAAGGCCTCCAACAAGAACTGAAAAAGACAGTCTTACAAGAACCACCACCAGTCACCACCAAGGATCAACAAAAGGAACCACTATCAACCGGCGAGACGATCCCGGAAAATGGGTTTGAAAAGGAGTTACTGGGATTCACTGGTGGATTTCCAGGAGGTGAAAAGGGCCTGCAAAAATTCATTGAACAAAATCCACCTCCCAAGAAATCTTCATCTGAGGAATCAGCCATCGTTGGCTTCAATCAGAGCTTAGTAAAGAAGCCGAAATCGCCCGAACTGCCACTGTTGATGCCTGGGATGATTGCTATTGTGAAGAATCCTAACAACCCTTATTATATGTACTGTGGGATTGTGCAAAGGATAACTGATGGTAAGGCTGGGGTGCTCTTTGAAGGTGGGAATTGGGATAGACTGATTACTTTCAGGCTTGAAGAGCTTGAACGCCGAGAGAAGGGACCTCCCATGGTCAGTCCTAGGTCTGTTGTACTAGAAGCCATGTTAGACAAGAATCCATGAGAGTAGTTTTCTTCTGTTTTTTTTTCTTCTTTGTTGTTTTTAAGAAGCAATTTTTTGTGTATATCTGTTATGCCTGGGAGATATTGAACTAGCATTGTGGATTATATGGGCATTGATTGCATGGTTTTTGATGTATGATCTTGATTGTTGATTTGGGCTGTGTGACTCTCGCATTGTCAATATCTTATTGTTTCTTATCGATTCTAGCACCTGCATTATGGTCTTGGATATGCTGGCTTCGCATGGTAGAAATTGTCCAGAACTCTGAAATGCATTATGTCTCATAATTGGTCTCATTCTTTTTTCCATGACTATTAGCTTGACATCAAAAAATAGTTCAACACAGTATTTTATTTCTGTCCTAATTGATCCTAATTCGACATTAGAAATATATTAATTTTTCCCCAATAACTGAATATTTTTGTCTGTAAATACTGCATATTTAATTTCATCTATATTTCTGTTTTCTTCCTTATGAATTATAGTAAATGCTAGTTCTTACTGTTTCATATATTATGATATAAATATACCACACCAATTTGTTATTTATGGATAATAAAATTCTACTAATACAGAGCCAATTTCAATAGATTTAGTAAAAGGTCTTATTGGCGTGCATCCAATAAGAATTGAACCTACGAGTTAGTCAATTATGAGTTGGACGCTTTAACCATAGATGTTTAGTAGGGCTCCTCATACATGGCGAAAAACCAAATTTCAAATGAAATGAAATCTTTAGAATAAATTAATACAATTTAGAAGGAATCAATAAAAAGACACCAATTCAAATCCTAGATTTTAGAATTGAGAGAGAAATGACAAATTTATTCACTCTATCAATAGACATGGAGCCATGATATAACGGAGGCCAAAGCATCGTCCAGGCAAGGGTCGCCCTTACGGGTAAACAAACCGGATTCAATCCTGGATTCGAATCCTCTCTCTTCCTCTCTCCCAAACTCCATACATGAGTCGGATGAGATTGGATAAATTTCTCCTGTATCGGGAGCATCAGCAACCAAATCGAACTCACAGAGACAAGATGGTGAACTTACACAACCAATTCAAAGTCACATACTCCTATGTCTCTGAAGAAACTAGAGCTCCTGCTCATTCTTCTTAGAAGCCAATTTTTCATTTTGTTTTGACTCTTGAGCAAGCATTTCAACTCCAAATAAGGTCCCCATCCTATGCAAGATAAGCGCATTCTCATCCCACAGCTAATATACTCACCAATCTGCTGGACTTCTTCAACCCCCAAAGATATATATTGATGCACTCTATTATAAGAATTAGTTCGAATCATGCAAAATTAACAGCAAACAAAGTATTACAGACCAGCAATCTTCAGGAAAAAATCTGGAAAATGAAGAATTTTTTTCCCAATGGAGGAAACAAAGCTCTGGACAAGCATTTCCTGAATAGTTGATCTCATGCATACCTCCATCACCCTATCCATGTTTTTTGGAAAATAGAAAACATTAATAGTTGATAATTCCTTTATAATCTCCAGATAAAAAAAGGGTTCATAATAGAAGTGGACTTGTGACTTTGCCCAAGATGAAACTGGAACTAAAGAAATCGTCAAACGTTGTCCACCCTTGACGGGGGCTCATCAGAATTTAGAGGCAGCCACCCAACTGCCATTTAGAAAACAGAAAGAAAAAAAAAAAAAAGTTGTTAAAAGCAATAATTAAAAGAAAACAACAACAACGAGGAAACCACATGCAAATGATAAAGGCATCAATCAACTAAACCTTAAACCTTATGAATCATGACTCCAATGATGACTGTGAACAGCCCAAGTAAATGAATGACAAATTATTAAATGATACAATAAATTAACTGATACAATAATCTAACACTGATGATTTGAAGCCATCCCATCTTCCATCGTCCATCTCCTCTTTCATAAATAAGTTTCCCTCTAAAGCACTTCTAAAATAAGTTTTTTATTATTGTTGGTTTTTTTTTTTGGGTTAGGGAGGGGGGGATCAAGCTCCAAATGGAAAGAAGGCATAGATATCTGATGCAAAAATGAAAAACACACAACAGAACTAGGTGGATAATTATTAATGAAAATTTTAATATTTTGATATATTATTAATGATGATTTATGCCGATTCCTTGTCAATAACATCGATTATAATGCCATTATGTATTTTATGTTCATTGCATGTTTATTGGTATTTTGCATGTAAATGACGTAAAATTGCAGAGAATTGAACGTGCATGGCGAGGAATAGATTCCTTGGATTGAAGGATTGATCCAAAAGATTGTAGAGGAATGGACTGAGTTATGAGGGATCGATCCCTGTGAAGTTGGATCGATCTATAGCATGAAGTTGGACTAGAAAGAAGGGAGGGATTGATCCAAATTTTATAGTAATGGATCCCGTGTGAAATAGGAAAAAGGGATCAATCCTTGTAAAGTTGGATTGATCCAATGTCTTTTAAAATGATCCCATGCTTTTTGATGGCTGTCATGGATGCATGATGATATGAAAGAGTTGATTTTTGTAAGGATCGATCCTCACTAAAATTGGATTGATCCCCGTGGCTTGTATTGAGACAGAAAAAAATATTGGATCGATCCATAGCTATTTTGGATCGATTCGAGTGAAGAATTTCAACCGGTCTGAGAGTACTAATTCGTCTTTACTTATACCAATATTATCCTACTATAAATACACCCTCATCTTATTGAAAAGGAATCCATTCTTCTTCCAACCTAGCAGTCTTCTAATTTATTTGATTATTTTGTTTTTCATCACAATTCTTGGAGATTCAACCATAAATTGTGAGTTGTCTTTTTGTACTTTCTAACTAGAGTTGATGGATCTGTTCAAGTATTTTTTTAGATCATAATATATATGCAATTTATATTTTGATCTCAATGTTAATTATTTTATTAATTCGACTGATTGAATGTTCTTAATAAAATTTGATATTTTGTACAATTATTTAATTATTCATCAACAGGATTGAATTCTTGGTGTGAATAATATTTATGATTCCCTACAAGTATTTTAATTAGTTTTTCAAAATTTATTTTCAAATCAATCAAACTAATTATTCGTTCATCAAAATATTTTCTGGTTGATTACATTAATGTTGAAAATCAACCGAAATAATTAATATTGCATATATATAATTTTCAAATAAATAAGAGAAAATCAGCGATCTCAAAATTCGAAAGTCATTTTTCAAATTATTGTTTACCCTAAACTTATTTTTACAATTGCTTTCTAGTCAATTCTACTTTCTACAAAACTTTTTTTTCTTATACTTTATTCAATTTACCCATTCCCTGAAGATTGGCTCGAACTATACCGTGTTATTATTATAACTTGACCACCTGCACTCCGGTGTACCACATTTGGATTCACGCAGTGGACCGTAGAAGAAATATACAAAATAGCCCTATGTTTATAGACATAAAGGATTTATGAACTTATCATTCGCAATCAATAGTGAAGCACAAAAACCTAAAGGGGGACAACATGTATACTAAATATATTAAGGTTCGCATGCAATCTCAAAGGACTTTGGGTGCCGAGGTCAATTTTCCAAAGGATCTTCTTTCTAAATCTAGTTAAATAAATGATGGATTTCAAACCTACGTTTTTTTTGGAGGGCAGGGAGATGCCCCCCTGCAGCCTTGTCAATGTCCACAATAATGACCTTAAACCCTTTGTATACTTGCACAAAGGAATTGAATTTCACTACTCAACAGTGAAATCATTTAAGATCGGTAAAAGTTGTTAACAAATCATGTAAGATCAGTAACTCAATTACAGGATTAAGGGGGCAGTACATATATGTGAATGATTAGATAATAGAGGTGAGTGAAAGAATAAAAAGGTGGCATTTGTACCATTAGGTACTACAATTTCTACAATAAACTAGTGATAAACTACTACATACCAAAATAGCCTCAATCTCTACTTCAGACACTGGTGTTCTTTTGGGCTGAAGAGAAGCTTTTCCTCCCAGAGTCGCATTTGATTCAGACCTTGAGAAAAAAGTTTGAGGAGCATCATTAGCCGTAGATGTTGCTTGATGCTGAGATGTGGAAACTGCCAAACAATCGTTCAAATACACTAAGGTACATAGGCAAGACTTATAACTAATAAAGCAGGTAGCCAACTGCAAAATCTTACTGGATGGTATCTTGTCAAATAATTGATCCTCCAATAGTATAAACCATGTACTCATGTTTGACTAAGATAAAAGACGAAAATATTAATTTGTATAAACCCCCATATAGAAAACCCACATAATTCTCATGGACTACATAAAACTACTTTCTTCTGTGAAAATAAGAGTGCACCAAGTACGGGCAACAAGATAATTGGCACCAAGGGATCAGGGAAACATGCGAGATATATGCAATTATTATTTATTAGTGTTCAGTTAAAAGAAGCATGTCAACAGAAAACAATTTTTTAAACATCCAGCTTTCATCTTGAACAAGATATTCTCAACCAACTTGCAACAATTATTTTCTGCAAATAGAACGGTAGAGTGCTCCAAAAAAAAAAGAACAGTAAAGCAAAACAATTTGCACTCATGCACATAAGTTGCCTAACTCTGTGGAGGAGAGAAATACCAAATACATTATCAAAAGTGAATTACGATAACACACACAGAGGCACGCCAAAGAAACCCTAGAAACAAATTGCAAGGAAATGTGAGAAGGTCTAGAATCTACTTCCTCGCAATAGAATATGTTAATACAGAATGTTCTGCCAACAGTAAGTAGTTGAGTTAGTTTTATTCAGTTGAGTTGAATCACGATCTCATTTACAAATATAATGCATAGATCAACACTGCAGGGTCAAAATGGAGTATCCCAAAGACAAGAAACAACAAACTAGAGGTAGTTTCAGTTTGAGAGAGAGTCAATCAAGACGGTAATGTCATGCTAACAAAAGGTAATATTTGGCATAAACGAGCCTGGGTAGTAGTCACGAGAAGATACAAGACAACCTCCACTTTCATATAAAATCTCTATGTACAACTGAATGGCCAGAAAAGAATGTACATATCTGCTCAGAAATAGCTGCCTGATAGCAGTTGCATACTGAAGCCAATGTACACACTTCCAGACTGCCCTATATGTTCTAAGATATCACACTAGACTGTCCTCTATTTTCTAAGACATCACACATGTAAGGCTCACCAAAAATCCGCATGCCGAATTGACCAAAACTGTCTATAATACCATGAAGCATCACATGTTTATTAAAATAGGTGAGTCCTAATTAAAAAAAATAAATAAAAGGACAGCCTAAGAGGGTATATTCATAATTCAAAAGTAGTACTGAACCAGTTTAAGGCATATCACGCAATAATGAGCAAATCAGAGTCACAGCGTTATTTGGGAATTAAAGATGAAACATTTCTATGAGTATCTCATTAATTATAATCACCCCCTAAATCTATCCTATGTACATATCAATGAATTTCACATGACCTTTTGGAATTCAAGTTCAGAATAACTATAATGCAACATCAAACAAACTCCTAAAACCTTTTTTTGGGGGTAAGTAAAAGAATTCCCATTGATAAAAAGAACTGGCTCAATACAGAAAGGGAAAATAAAGAAAATGACCCATTAAGCATGTTGATCAATCAATGATTGATCAAAAAATAAGCAGAACACACAGCTAGTGCTCAAAAATTCTGTTAAGACTCAAAATGACCAGTAACTGGAAAAATTGAGGCCTCCAGAACAGAACAGTAATTATAGAAGAAAGACAATCCACTCCATGTCCAGATAGAAAATGGAATGAAGAACCCATGCTTGCAAGGCAGTCCATTGGCAGAAGGGATAGCACCATTCCAATTTCCAAGCCATAAATCCATCATCAAGATTGAAGCTAAAAACCTCAGCATTCCAGCATGGTATAATACTTCTATTCTGAGGAGAGTCCGGAGGCTTTCATGAACTTAATCTTCCTCTAATCATATTCAAAATGAAATTCATAACTGAATCAGAACTCTTAGCCAGATTACAAAATATTCTGGTATTCCTTTCTTGCCAGACAGAGGCGGAGCCACAATCATATATTCGTCAAATACCATGATTTTTCTCAATTGAACACATAGAATATATGATCTAAATTTTCTGAATTATAATTGCATAGCACACATAAGGTATCAATGTTGGAACGAAGCTTGTTTTTAATGGCCAAACTCCTAAAACCTAACAAATTATATCTTGATTATGCAGAATGGCATTGCAATAAGACACAGATTCAATCCAACATTAAAACAAATTTAGAGACATACAGATCATACCATTAATAAAGAGATGCATATCATATAACCACTAGATAGATGTATATATTGCGATTTGGGGAAAAAGTAAAAGACAAACCAGAGGGTTTTGGATGTCTCTGAGGAAATTTGATCCTGGGTATTCTCTTCATGGCCTGCGCTGCACCCATCTCTCTCTCTCTCTCTCTCACAAACAGTTTAATCGGGTTGATGGCCAAATAGAAGGCCTTGACTTGAAATATGAGTTGGGTTGGCTACGGGGTGTTTCTTGTTGAGACAGTTTCGCAAGTTTTACTTTCTTAAATCGTGAACTCAGACCTACGCAAGCTTGCACCCACCCACGCGTGGAGCTCCTCTGCTGTTAGTAGTCTAACAGCAAACTTTGTGGAGCGGTGCCGTTCCGAGTAATAATGAAAGTAACCTGGAACCCAGCATCCAGCAAAACGATGCCGTCTTTCACTAAGTCAAAATATATTATTATTCCTCCCGTCAAGCCAAAACACACTCCAAGCTCCAACAATATGGACGTCGTCACCAACCCAAAACACAGTCCCTCCAAGCACACAGTCCCTCCAAGCTCCGACACAATCCCTCGTCAATAGCAAAAATCTCACTCACCAAAATCTTCTTGTTCCACTCGACATCCCAAAAAATATCTCAAGTAATTTTATGTTATATCATATTTATTGCATCAAAATTAATTTTGTTGTATGACCTTTATTGCATCAACATCAATTTTGTTATATCACCATTATCTTTGATTTTTATATAAGCGATGGAATTTTTATGTTGGAATTTATCATCATAAATTTTTATATTCTTCGTCTTTCATTATCTTCAACCTTTCGTATTTCATTACGTTCATTATTCAACTCTTAAGGATAAGAAAGATCCAACCATGAAGTGGGTAATATTGATATTTTTTCATAATTTTTTTATGAAATTTCAGTTCATAAAATTATAAATTTTTTTTTTAAAACTTTATGTAAAATCTTGATAGAATTATGTGACTATCAGCATTATTTCTACTACGTTTTTGTGAGTATATTTGATTGTTCGATATATGGGTATTGATGTTTTAGGCTTTGGTGAAGCTGAGTTATATAGGTTTTGATACATAAGATTTTCTTGTTCACAGGAAATATAAAAAATAAGTATTTACTTGTTCAATTTGCAAATGAAAATTTATATGGGCAGTTTTTGATCTTGTGTTTAATTTGTATAACTATTTGGTTATTGTAGGGGACATAATCTATAGTCAAGATGGAATATGTTGAGATTGATAAATCAGACATTATACTATATGTTGGAATGCAACTTGACTCGGAAGAAGATGCTTATAGGTTCTATAATAATTTATGGTGAAACTGTGGGATTCAGTGTGAGAAAAGATTATCACAATAAGAGCTTGAAGGATGGTGTATTAATTTACAGAAAATACGTATGTTGTAAACAAGGACAAAGGAGTAAAGATAAAAGGGATTGAAAAATAACAAAGGCTCAGGCAAAGACTCGAACAAATTGCCCTGCTCACATGTGCATATCCCTCAAGAGAGATATTGAGAAATTTGTTGTTGTTAAATGGGAAGACTAACACAATCACATTTTGCACTTGACCGAATGCATACATATGATGTCATTCCAACGGAAAGTTCCTGTAGCTCAAGGCATCAATGTTGATATTGCTGAAGATTGTGAGATATCACTTAAGGCATCCTAAGAGCTTTTGAGTACCCAAGCAGGTGGGAGAGAAAGCTTAGGGTTCACTCATCAAGACCAAAAAAATTGCATTCGAGAAAGGAGACAACGAGATTTGAAATACGGTGAAGCGGGTAGTTTGTTGCAATATTTCCAAGCAGAAACTACTAAAAATCCATCATTTTATTATGGAGTCCAATTGGATGTCGAAGAGCACATAACAAATATTTTTTGGGCTGATCTAGGAATGATTATTGATTATGGCCACTTTAGGGATGTTGTCACATTTGACACAACATTCCGAACAAACAAAAAGTACCGACCCTTAGGCATTTTGATTGGATTTAACCAGTTCAGGGAGACGGTCATATTTGGTATTGCATTATTGTACGATGAAACTTCAACATCATTTCAATGGTTGTTTGAGACATTCCTACAAGCAAAGTCTGGGAAGAAGCCTGTTACCATTTTCACTGACCAAGATCAAGCAATGGCTAAAACTATATCTATAGTGATGCCAGAGACATATCATGGATTATGCTGTTGGCACCTTTCCCAAAATGCTTTAAAGCATTTAAAGAACATATATAAGAATAGTTCAAAATTTCCTGCCCAATTTAAAGCGTGCATGTATGGATACGAGGAAGAGTATGAGTTAGTTGATGCTTGAAAATTGTTGCTTGATGAGTATGATTTGCATGATAACAGTTGGATGAATTCAACTTGGGCACTAAGAGAGAAATGGGCACATGTTTATATGAAGCGGACTTTCACAGGCGGTATGAGGAATACTCAGCTAAGTGAGAGCTTAAACTCAATATTATGAAAGTACTTAAAATTAGACCATGATATTGTTCGCTTTTTTACTCATTTTGACAGGCTTTAAAATGATAAGAGATATAAGGAGACAAAGAAGGAAATCAAGCTAGGCAAAAGTTGCCTAGAATAAAGTTGAAAACAGCTCCGATGTTAGTGCAAGTAGTTCAATGTTACACTCCTCCTATTTTTAATTTATTTTAAGATGAATATGATGTATTCCAGTGTGCTATTGCGAGTCCTTGTAATGTGTTCGATGGATGTCACGAATTTGTAGTGGAATTGTATGATGAAGAGAGAAAGAACATGGTGTTGATCAATGTCAATGAGCAAACCGTTTTTTGTAACTATCAAAAATTTGAAATTATTGGGATATTATGTGATCATGTATTTAAAGTGCTAGACACGATGAACATTAATCAAATTCCTGACCAATACATAATACAGAGATGGATGCGAGATGCAAGAAAATGGTCAAGTCCTTATTACAGTGCCACACTAAATGAGGAGGATCCCAAGTTGATGGTAACATCACGTTACAGACAGCTATGTCTTAATATGGTACATTTAGCAGCTCGTTGTTCTAACCTTAAGTTTGCACACCAATTGGTGAATCGCGGTATTAATGAGTTGTTCAAACAAGTGGATTTAATGTATACATCACTTGGTACTGAGGAGGACAATGATGGTGATGAAGGAGTAGAAAATCTCTCTCTCTCTAAATGAGCAGAAAATGTTGAGCCTAACATTGTACGGGTAGGTGGCTTAAAAAGGAAAGATGGTGGTTACAAGGGTTGAAGTCGATTGAAGCCTTGGAATGAGAAGCCAACGAAGAGGAAAACTGGAACTTCCTATAGGTCTAAGGTATTACAACCCCAACATTATGGTTATGATATTTTGGAATTTTTTTTTTTAATTGTATCTTTCATCTTTGAATGTTTGTTTTGAAGATATCTCAATTGGATGAGCAAAATTCACATATGAATGAATTTACCTACTCATGGTCATCGACTTATAGTCACTTAAATCCAATCTCAAGCATGTCTTCTCAAGCATCAAATTCTCAAGCATCAATTGCTTCACAAAATGCTCGGGTAAATGTTGAATCATGCTTCTTGGACAACGTCGTTGATTATCCTAATGAGGAGAATTGATGTTGCTGCAGTGCTGGATGTTGTTGCAATGCGGTGCTTCAAATTTTTGTTCAAAATTGACAATTTTTTTTGATTCTTTTGAAATGTGGATGGTGGATCTTCTTTTGTTATGGGGATGGTGGATCTTCTATTTTGTTGTTTTAGAAGATCTGTCATCCCTTTAGAAACACTTGTGTACATGATCTCATTTTTATTTTTTTATGGAATTGATCTTGGACAAATAATTTTTTTTTTATCTTGGACAAGTAAATTTTTGTTATGTATCATGCAACAAAGCACCATGTTCAACCAACGAATACACCAATACATCATTTTCAACCAACCAATACACTTTATTTCATAGAAAAAGAATTACAATCAATGAGACAAGCAGACAAGCCCTGCTCTGTCTTTATCCAGAAATCCAAGGAAAAACAAGTTAGTCTCCAATTCTGTCTTGACTGCACAGTCAGTCTACCATAGACTGCAAAACCACAACATGCCTCCAAAAAAGAGAATTTTATTTATTGAAATTCAAAAATTACAAGAAGCAAAAACAGAAACTATTAAGCAAATAGTAACTGTTTTAACAATCTAAAACAGAAAACTGTACAAAAAAACAGTCACTATGCAGATCCTATACAACCATTATATACAGAACCTCACAGCTCAGCACTTGCCCTTATAAGGTTCTGCAGCTTCAGAATCTGGAGCAAAGAACCTCCAGCTTAAAACCTCCACCCTGGAACTTGATGCAGAGCCTCATCAAATTTGTTCAGGAATGCATAATAGCAGCATTGCCACACAACAGAACCAGTCTGTCCAATCTAAAACTAACCAAAATCCATGAAACTTAGAAGTTGGCTTTAATCCTTCAAAGGATCAAACCAAATCCTTATTACAATGATGGACTAGGGCCTGACTCCATGCTTGCATCCTATGGTTGCAAAACATATTATCCCACCCCCAGCCCTATGCCTTTGATCACAAACTACAACCCTCCACACCCTAGCATTTGGTATCATAACTTGATCCTGTAGCATTTGCCTGCATCACATTCTGTTAACCCAAAACTAGTGTAACAGAAAAATAGAAGTCCAATACCAATTGAAGCAGACAGAGACAAATTCAATTTATATAAACAACTGACTGTATGTAGAAAGCTTCTAGATAAAAAAAAAGGACACAGTAATTATATAAACAGACTACAATTTCATCACAGCAGTGTACTAATTAAGAGATGTGGTGAGAAATTACTATATGGAATAATTATGAATCCTTCATGTTCAGTAACATCCTTGTGGTTGTCTACAATGTGAGGAGTATTTTTCCCATTTGCACCTGCAAGACCTCCATTTTCACATAATTTGCCTCTGCCTGAAATTCTTGAACAGATGGTTGTTGTATGAATGTATTTCTGAAATTCATTTTTCCCCAAAACTATTTCTAAAATATAAGAATAACACATTTAATCCAATTCTGTATGAATGTACTACTTACAAAGAAACTAAAACTGAGAAGAA